ATAGCAGGTGTTGAATATTATCTTTAACAAACATACCTATTGAGAGTATTTACATTAATGATCATTGTTAAATCACAGTTCACATGTGCATTATAATTTGCTAATCTTATTACTCATGTTGCAATGACATCAGAACTAATATTACCAAATAATAATTGATTTGTGAGTTATATACATTTTTATAATAATCTTCATATGTGTTATAAGAATTTTATACCAAAAAAACTTTATTGGGACAACTTGACGACAAGCTCCATGTTTTTAGTATGAAATCTATAATTTTTCAATTAGCTTGAGCCATAATCAAGTCTCAAGTTATTGTTATAAAGACACAAGGTTAGATTCTTGTAAAGAAAGCATAGCACGGCCTACACATGTATAAACACATTGAGACTTCAAGATGGAACTAGTTTGAAACCTGACAAACAACTTTTTACTCACAGCCCAGTATACACATAGGTTATAATAATATCTTAATAAACTGTATCTCTTGTATCAGCATGTTAAGTATATTGTACATTACACTTTTTTAATAGGAATAAATATGTAACAAATATGTATATTATGATGACTACTTTACTGTCTGAGTATCTGGCTAAAACATGATTTCACTTTACTTTGATAAAATGAGGTAAATAGATATAAGTAGAATGAATAAAAGCCATTCGCCACAGGGAAGGAAGTGGCCAAATTACTATTTAATATGTTCTTAAATGTACATAAAAGTTCAAATTTACTTTTTTTCATGTCATAATTTTATTCATGATGATTGGTTTACCTATACGTAATTCAAGTTGTGTTTTCCATTCTGCAATTTGTATGACACATTTTATGTGTAATTTTAGTATTAAACAAAACATTTAACTATGTTTCTCTCCCAATATGGTTTATTGTATACTTAAATTAACTAAGATTATTTCTTATTACAGGAAGAGGCAGTTTTGGTCGTATTTACTTAGCTTCTGATGATGTTGAGAAGGAAGTCACAAAATTGACCGCAAGATATGTAGTCAAGATAGAGCCCCATAGTAATGGACCTCTCTTTGTGGAGATACACTGCCTCATCAGAACTGCACAGTCCTCTCAATGTAAGTTACAAATCAAATTACTATTAATTTTAATGATTTGTTTATAAAATTGTTACAATTATCAGCTGCCCAGCCCAAAATTCAAGGTCTGCTAAAGATAAGTTTAACATAATATACTATAATTTTGTCATTTAAATTATACAATTATCATAACTTGTTCTTGTTTTTTTTGTCCACAGTAAAAGCATGGAGGTTAGAAAACAAGCAAAAACGTATTGGTATGCCTGTCTACATAGCCAGCGGCTCATTCATAGATGAAAACACTGGCACTAAATACAGATTCCTAGTTCTACCACGCTATGACATTGACTTACATAAAATCGTCGCCAGAACTAAAGTGTTGGACCTCAAAAATGTTCTAGTACTTGCATTACAAATTCTAGATGTCTTGGAGTATTTACATAGCCAAGGATACACACATTCTGACATAAAAAGCTCCAATCTAATGCTTGGTTTTGATGGATCGAGAGTTGGAAAAGTTCCATTTATAAAATTAACTCCATCATTCCAGAAAGACACTAAAGAACTGGCTGTGTTATCTGGTAAACACAGGAGAGTGAAGCCTACTAAGGCAAGAACCTCTAACTACTATGATGATGAGGATTTTGTCATCAAAGAGTATAAAGGTCCAGATGAGACAAATGATAATGATAAGAGACTTGCAAGTGTTAAAAAGAAGCTGCGTAAAATCCTCTCAGACAGAGATAGTAGAACTCTGCACAGGCATCATGCCTTCAATCTCAGACAGATATCTAACTATGTTAATTATGAGGATATGAATAGTTCCATCTGTTCTGATCAGTCCTATCAAAAACTACTTGATGACTTTGGCGGCAAGAATCTAATTCGTACTACTAAAGAGTTTCAAGAAGATACAAGAAAACGAAATGCTAGAGAAAAGAGAGAGAGTGAACCTGAAAATGTTGATGAATTATTCCAGGAAGCTGTGCTTTCACAAACTAATGGACAGATATATTTGTTGGACTATGGTTTAGCTTCTAAATTCCTAGACTCTGATGGTATGCATAAAGAATTCAGTATGGATGCCAGAAAAGCTCATGATGGTACACTGGAATATAGTTCAAGAGATTCACATATTGGAGCTCATTCTAGAAGGTCAGATCTGGAGACACTTGGTTACAATCTACTAGACTGGCTAACGGGAACCCTACCTTGGAAAACATCAGAGGTACTAGCTGAGCCCGATCTAGTCCACGCCTTAAAGAAAAACTTCATGAGTGACATCAAATTGTTGTTGAAAACATGTTTTAAGACTGAGTTCTATCCCCAGTTCCTGGAAAAATACCTTGAATATGTCACAAGTCTTGATTTTACGGAGAAACCTGATTATGACTACTGTAGAAGTTTATTTAAAAGTGAATTGTTGAAAAATGGCTGTTCTAGTGATAAAGAAGTGTGTCTAAGCTTTAATGAAGCGCCAATGTCTCCAATGAGTCGTAAATTATATTACTCCAAGAGGTTTGGAAAGAAAAACACTACTCCCAGTTTCTTAGCAAGGCATGGCATCAAGAAAACATATGAAAGAGAAAATTTTTGTTCACTTGAAAATGACTTGAAACTAGAACTATTGAAACAAACTTTAAACTCATCGAGTGATGGAATTCGCAAGCCTTGCGCGTCTCGAAACTTCTTTATTTCAGACGCGGATTTAGTGGCTCGATTGAAGAAATCTCTAATGCCACATGACATATTGGGTAAAAAATTATCTCCTAAAAACTTGCGTTCAAAAAAGAAGAACATAAAGAAACGTAGGGGAGTAAGAAAACACCGGAATAGTATAGGTAAATTTGGTAATTTTATGGGCTCTGCGCGCCAGTTTACTTGGGCCGAAATACTAGCCGGCAACCCAGAAGATATCATTCGAAATGCAGAACGCAAAACTGCTGCAGTGAATACAGAATATGTTGATGATGAAACTTGTAAATATAGGATCAGAAAATTATCAAATGCATCTGAGAACAGTGACTCACATCTACAATCACCGCTGATGCAGAAAGACTACTTACAAAACTTGAATCCTACTTATGCCATGAAGGAAGTAGTAGCGGCGTTTAAGAGAAAGGTTGCTGGAAAAGCAAAGGATCCTGAAGAAACTATTGAGGGTTTAGAAGGATACACACCTGCTATGATCAAAGTGTACAAAATGAAAGAGAAACGAGAGGCGAAGGAGAAAATGGAAGCTCTGAAACAACAGGCATGTGCTAAGAAGGAAATGGCTCAAGTTCAGACAAGATGCACAAGGTCAATGAGGAATAAGAATCCAGTGGAACCAAGTTCAAGGGTCACAAGAAAAAAAGGTAGTGTTGACAGTAATAAGTCTGTAGAGGTTGAATCGAAAGTAGTTCCTAAGTGTACTAGTAGAACGCAAAGTAAGAAGGTCGCAAGTAAGAAAGAAGATAAGGAAATTAGTAAGAAAGAAAAAGATAAGAAAGAAGTAATAGTTGTAGAGCCTGAGAAACCAGCAGTCAGACCTACAAAAAGTAAGTATTGTAATGGGATTAGAAGTTCATGTTTCATTGTATTTTTACTAGTTTTTATTTAAATTTTGCAACAAATGCAAAGGTTACCACTACTGTAAACTTGTGTTTGTCCATCATAATTTCAAAGTCCAATAATTGAAAATCCTTTGTACATACTAAACCAAAATTATTGTAGTAAATATTGTGTTCAGATTAATGTTATAGAATGTATGTAATATGTTGCAGTGTATAACATACTTTTCCTAAATGTAAATAAAGTATTTACAAAAAAGTTTAGTGTTAGTGGAGTAAAACTGGAATTTAGTATTTGTGGAGTAGTAATGATTGCTTTTTCATTTACAGAAACATCAACAAGAAGCAAGACCCTTACAGTAGTGAGCAACAGAAGGCGGCTGAGAAGTAGTAAACGCAAGAAATAAGAAGTACTTTTAATGGTCCATCTCTATGTCTAGATTGAGAGTGTATGAGTGTCGCTTTTCAAATCTATAGGTTAAGCTCTAATGTAGGTACCGCCTCGTCTCTATTTTTTTATTTTTCAAATCCTTACAGATATTATTTCCTAAATAATATCGATTTGTTCTAATCTATTTAATAAGAATGATTGACGGTGTAAACTTGACCCACCATTTTTTGCATTATGAAATTATTGGAAAATGAAATATGATTGTTACAAAAAACTGTGATTTTTTTATTTGTGTGAACTAGGTGTAAAATAATTATTGACGTGATTTTAGACAAGCCCACTTGACTAAAGTCTACTAGATTGAGGGCTTTATTCGAATATTACTTGCATTTAATAAAAATAATTGGTTTTCCTTAGTAGTTATGTAGGTACTTGAGTACTGTTAGCCGTTTTTGTCATTGTCGGCTTGACGTTCCTTTGTGTAAGTCCTTTGATGGTCATAAAATAAATCATTTTGTTGAAGTTATTGCTTTTCTTTTCATCTAAAACCTGGTTCTCTAACGTTACATTAAGACAAATAAATAATACCTAGTCAAAAGGGCCTTCGACAGTCTACACAGGCCTTGTGTCAACTGGTGAATAATTAGAAAGTTAGAACAGCTTTGACAATTAATTTACAAAAGAAATATAATACACAACTAATAATAGACTACATTTCACTATAGTGTTGAAATGATATTTAAAAAGTTATAAGTAAATTACAAAACAGCTGTTTATATTCCATTTGATGTGTTGATCAACCCTTGTGGCATAAACTTTATTGTACGCGTTGTGCTTAAGCCATTTTGCTAACTTATTGTTCACTGATAACCTCTTATCAGTAACATATGTAACGGTCAGAACAGATTTACCAATGTAATGAATGACACAACTCGGGTGCGGGTGTAATTTGAAATATAAAGAACTGATTGTGGCAACACTGTTATCAGGTGTCAGTGTCAATCTGCTCTTGTATCAAAGTTATCGATAATAATGACACTGACAGATCGACGTCCGAATGATTAGGTTGTCGCATAGGATGATGTATTTTTATTTATTATTCTAATTAATAAATTACAATATTTGCCGACTTGTCCACTACAGTGATAGTGACAAGTCATTAAGGCAACAGAATATTTTCTTAGTCCCATTCATTTTCGTTACGTTCATGACATAACCTTAAAGTTCCTATTTATTTTATACTTATGTAAATTCGTGAATAATTGAATTAACAATGGAAAGTGAAGCTAAAAATGTGGTTCGGGTTGGTTCGAGAAAAAGTGAGGTGCGTATTATTCTCCAGATTATTGAAATTTAAATAATTATGTTTCTATCAGAGGTCGAAATATATTGAGAGAATTTTCAAGTTTAGTGATTGTGCAGTTTTCATTCGATATCAAATTAATTTATGATATTCATAGTGTTCCTGAGTTTTATATCACTAAGTATTATTTATTTTCAAGGTTGTTTGGTATGTTCCTCTTAATTGTTTACATTTAATTTCTGTTTATCTTGTTGACCTCAATAAACTTTAGGTGTTTTTTCTAAACTCCTTATCAATTTTTTGGTTTCTATGTAATGGTAATAAGACCAATATTTTCAGACCATAAAGTTCCAACAGTTTCAGTGTTATCTTCTTTAAAAAATAATACTTTTTGACTTAACATGACCTTTGATACTATATGGTTATTAAATCTATTTATGATTCAACTTTAGCTAATAAAATATAGATACAGATTAAAAAAAATACAAGTCAAGGTACCTAACACTTATTCAGCCTTTACATTAAGTTAAGTGCTAAAGTACCCATACCTTATGTACATAGAGTCTAATTAGACAATCAATGGGTAGGTAGTTAATGATTTCACTTTTAATTTTTCCTGTGTTACAAAAACATATTGAATGTTAATTGCAGAAACTGTATGACTACATGTGTGCACAGATGTTCAGTTTTATTTAATTTGATACAATGTCACACTTTATGGATTTGGTTTACATTGTAAATATGTTATTAGTCGCTCTACTTAACTGTAATTATTTTTAGAAAATTCATTATTGATTTTAAAATCAATAGTCTTATCATATAATAAAAACCTGTCCCAGTTATTATTGAAATTAATTAGTTAATAAATAGCTATTCACTACTAAACCAACCAATTACATACAAATAACACCTTAAAATCTATCTAATTAAAAAAATAATAATAAACTTGTTGACTTTAGGCAGAGATAATGATTATATTGCTAAAAGCCACATTATGGCTACAACAAGAAAAAATATATTTTCTTTCAAGCATTTTGATACTATTTTTTAAAATATAATTTTTTACTTCTTGTGGACTGCATTTTAGCTTACATTATAAATATATTTATTTTTTAACACTAGTGTATAAGTTTTCTTTACGTAATTGATTGCTATACCAATAATCAGTACTTAAAATATTGTAAATTTAGACCTAACATGAGTTAGAATAAAAACAAACGGTAAATAAAAAGCAAGCCACACCTCACACCAATGTTAAATAAAATTTGAAATACTATCTGAATCAAAAAAACAAAATATGAAAATCATCACCAAATAACATAATTTATGTATGTCATGCTAAATTGCAAATATGATAATATCTGAATATGAATAATATACCTAATAATAAACCAACTCTCAACTGTTTTATTTTCAGCTGGCACTTATACAAACCAACTATGTTATTGACTGTCTGAAAAAAGTACATCCTGAAAAAGAATTTACAGTAGGTGAGTAGTTTGATATTTTGTCTTAATAATATGTTTGCAGACAAACAAGCTGACGGATTACCTGATGGTAAGCAATGAGCGCCGCTTTTGGATAGTCGTAGTACCAAAGGAGTCACTACAAGTGCGTTGCCGGTCTTTTATGACATGTGTTGTTAGGGATTTAAGGATAGGTAAAGAATTCGGCCTCCGGTAACCTCGTTCACACGGCGAAACACAACGTACGTGTTACTTCACGCCGGTTTTCTGTGAAGCCGTGCTATCACTCCGGTCAAGCCGGCTCATTCATTCCGAAGCATGTCTCTCCCTCACTTCCACAACAATGAAAGAACTCAGAAAAAGCTTAAGCATTGAACTAATAAGCCATTAAGAGTAGTAAGTAGAATTTTTGAATTATTTTTTATTAATAAAAGTCTTTCGTTAGCGTAGATCTTTGCACAGATAACCTAAGCGGTAGATAATGAGTTTAAAGATCAGAATTAGGTAATATAGAATGGCCCATATGGTATGTATATGTATAGCTCCCGCTTGTCATGCATGAGGTTCGAAACCTGGCAAGTACTGATGTGACTTCTCAATTTCTATACATATACTTTCTAAAATTAACAAATCATGAAAAGACCAGAAACTTGATATCCCAATTTACTTGCCATTCGCCGTAATTAAACCTCCGTGTTAAAAGATGATTAAAGAGGTAACAAAACAGCCTAACAGCTACAAAATTAAAAAAAAACTACGCCCCTATGAATACTCAATGACCGCAAGCGTGTATATTATTGCCTAGGTACATGATGTAGCAGGGGAAATCGTTCCTTTGCCTTGGTTTTCAACCTCGCAACGCCTAGCATAGCGATAGTTCATTGAACTCTGTCTACTATCACAACTGATCTAATACATAATAGAACGCCATTAAGATCCTTTTGTAGAGAAATTTGTTACTGATTAATATCGTCAACGCTATCCTGCCTGCTTGTGATTTATTTTATTACGGTTTCTTGCAAGTAGATCCTGTCTTTTAGGACTAATATCGGGATAAATAATAGTCTAAGCTGCTATCTGAAAATTAAGCTATACAATGGTGAGAGCAATTTCAAAATTAGCCTGGTAGTTGAATTATTCGTAGAAGTCGAGAGAAGGAATATGTAGAGAATTTTTTTTTTATTCAAAATGTGTAAATTTGACATTCACGTTGCCGGCCGTTAGTAAATAAATAAAAGCAAGCAAACAAACAAAATCTAAACTATAAATGATGTTATCTAAAACGATTGTTTATTCCAGTTACCATGACAACGCTGGGTGACCGCATACTAGACGTATCGCTGCCCAAGATAGGAGAAAAGTCACTTTTCACAAAAGACTTGGAAGACGCCCTTAGGAATGATACAGTGGACTTCGTGGTACATTCCTTGAAAGATCTGCCTACCACCTTGCCTGATGGATTAGCTATTGGTGCCGTGTTTGAAAGGTGAGACATTTTACATGTTTTTTAGAACTCATTTAAGTACTGTTAAAGTCACAATTAAATCATTTGTTTCAAATAAATAGTTAAACTTTCAGTCTCGCACATCAAAATTTTGGACTAGTTTGATGTACCTTCTTGACCTTCAAACCTTCAAAAAACTGGCGTATTTCTTCTCAAAAGGCCAGCAACGCGCCTGATCCTCCTGATCCTCCTGGTGTTGCAGGTGTCCATGGGCGGCGCAGATCACTTACCATCAGTTGATAAGTGTGCTCATTAGCCTCCTATTCTATAAATAAATAGGTACTTTTGAACATCAAACAAAATATTTAAAGGACAAATGTCAATTTGTCAGTTAGTCCCCTACTGAAGATGTTTACTCATTCCAAAGTATAGATTCCTATAGGAGAAAACATCAGACCTTAATCCAATATATCTGGATTGATCTAAGTTGACAGAAACTTAATACAATGATTGCTAAAAAAGAATTAATTGTAATGTCTTGGTGGCCCGGAGGAGATTGCGCCCGCTTTCCACGCATGAGTTGACACCACAGACATACGGAATTATAAGTTTGAAATCGCCAATCCGCCTTGAGCAGGCATGGTGATTAATGCTCAAACCTTCTTCGTGTGAGAAGAGGCTTTTGCTCAGCATGGGGCACTTATAGGTGATGATGTATGTTTGTATTGGATTGTGATGCAGATTCTAAAATGACGGAAAGAAATCTGATGTCGGATGTAGCGCGTGTATTATCATAGTAGATCCACTTCTGCAAATTATTTTCACGAGTTCGGATCGGATGTAATGCTAAAACGGTACCAGTAACAAACATGTACTTATATTTAACAAGAAGTATCTTAATCGTTCGGAAGTAAAAAAAACCTTTTGGCGTAAATAACAACAAATTTAATAACAAACATCGCCCGGATGAGTGCAAACTCCAATTTAAAATTGCATAATCGACAATATAGGTACATCCTTCTGTTACAATGTTTCGCTGCATTATATATTATTAATATCTTCAAGTTAATAAAGTGTTTAGATAACGTTTTAGTGTTATCTCTCTTATATAATTTCGCTGAGTCATGGCAAGTCTACATTCTTCAAATATTAATGTTGGGCAAAAGTAAATAACTCTCTCGTTTTATTTATAATTTTTTGACTGCACGGTTGATGCGGTGGCTCGGCAACTGGCTGCCGTGCAACGTGTCGCGGGCAGGATTCCCGAACGGAACAACTTTCTGTGTGATCCACAAATCGTTGTTGTGGGTCTGGGTGTGATGTATATGCGAAATTTTACAGGAAAAAATAATAGTGAAGATCAACGTGTAAAAAAAATTGAGTCATGACAACTCAGGGAAACTGTAACTACCTATTTACGTTCTACAAGTATTGTATGTTGGTTCGCCCATTAACACCCATAACAACAAGGAGTTAGAGTGCGTTGCCGGTCTTTTGGATATTGGGGTTTCGGATATTTAAGGATGGGGAGCGATGAAGGGAAGGCAAGGATTGGGCCTCCGGTAACCTCACACACACGTCGAAATACAACGGTGTGGTTGTTCCACGCCGGTTTTCTGTGAGGCCGTGGTATCATTCCGGTCGAGCCGACCCATTTCTGCCAAATCTTGGATCTTCCATACTTAATATACATAGGGAATTTGCTGGTTATACCTTAACAGAAATTGACATTCCAACAATGCCTTGTGTATTTCCAGAGAAGACCCGAGAGACGCGTTAGTTCTTCGAGAGGACTTCAAAGACCACACGCTGGCCACACTGCCTGAGGGATCTGTTATAGGTGAGTTACAACTTATAAGTAAATAGTTACTTATTCCCAGCGCACTATCTTTTTTCATTATAAAAATAAATAGTAAAGTATCGGTGAGCGCATAACTCAGAAACGCCTGCACCAATTTTTCCGGCGTGAAACAACAACAGCGGCGTTGTATTTTGCCGTGTGAGTGATGTTACCGTAAGCCGAATCCCTCCCCTCCCCCAATATCTCAATCTCCAAATCCCAAATCCCCAAAAAGTCGGCAGCTCGTTAATCGTTAGCCGACAAATAAAATTTTCTGAGGAAAGCTCGACTAGTTTTAAGTTGCAACGGGACTCTTATTCATGAGTTGCGTGCGCGTCATCGAAGAGCTTTTCTCAATAAATTTACGTGAGTTACTTCAACCATACTTTTCGATAACTGGGGCATAGGAAAACGTGCTTGTGTTTGTGAATATTAAGCCAGATGAGATCAAAGTTATCAAATAAATGTTAAAAGTACCTACGACTCTCAATTGTTTTAGCCTTTAATCGGAACGATATCGGCTAGGCTGGTTACTGATAACAATTTATAGAAAACAATGTGTTGTGTAAGACTTCACTTTGTAAGTACGTAATACAAGCTATGTAGGTACGTTAGGTACTTAAAGAAATCGACGTTATTTAAAGATCATTAAATTTAATTGTATTGTAGTTTATTTATGAGCGTTTCAATTCAAAATTATTGTTGACGCTGCACTATTTTTTTTCTTATTGTTTTCGTGCCCCTGAATAGGATTTTCTCCCGTGTCGTGGATGCGTTTACAAACAGATTTCGTCGTGTGAGTGAGGTTACCGAAGGCCCAATTCCTCCCCCATCCCTTCCCAATTCCTAAATATCCAATGCCCTTTTCCTCAAATGACCGGCAACGCACTCGTAACTCTTTTGGTGTTGCGGGTGTCCATACTGTCCATGGGCGGCACCGATTGCTCACCATTAGGTAATCCGTCGGCTCGTTTGCCGACCTTATCCATCTCATAAAAAAACGAATCTTGTTAAAAAGTGAAAAATCGTTCGTTATCATTAAACCAACATTAATACTTGTAGAACGTTAATAGTTACAACAAACAGTTTCCCTGAGTTGTCATGACCCAATTTTTTTAACACAACACATCAATTGCTTGTCATCAGGTTATCCGTCTGCTCGTTTGCTGACCTATCCCATAAAGAACTTACCTAATTCTTGTTTGTCCGTACCTCGGTAGAGTCCCGACCGTCGGTGGCTATTTTCTTCCGAATTTGGCACGATCTGGCCTCGGCACGTTAATACATATATTATGAACATATTACCCGGGTGCTATCTACTCAGAATTGAGATCCTAGTGTCCTAGATTTAATCAGTCAAAAAAATAGTTTTGATCTACGAAACTACCCAATGTTAACAATAACACGTTATATTCTAGGAACATCGTCGTTACGTCGCACGGCGCAGCTTCGCGGCTCGTATCCGCAGCTATCCGTAGCAGACGTGCGCGGTAACTTGAACACTAGGCTGCGTAAGCTGGACACGTCCGGACAATACGCCGCGTTACTATTAGCAAGCGCTGGCTTACAACGCATGGGCTGGAAGGACCGGATATCTAAGGTACAATAGAATATGATGTCCTCTTCTCACACGAAGGTTTGAGTGTTAATCACCAAACTCTAGGCGTGGTCAGGTTTCCTCAGTGTTTCTTCACCGTATGTGTGTGGTGTCTGAATAATCTAGAATCTAGAAAGTACATTCCACATAATAGAACTATCTAAATTATGTAACAATGCGTTCAAAAGTGCCTATTGTAGTCTACTTGAAATAAAGAATTTGATTTGATTTGACATTTAACTCTGAAAAGTCACATCGGTACTACTAAACTCCCGACCACCACGACATAATATGTTGAATGGCCACCACTCTCCCCTCCCCGTGGCACCTCATCTGCTTTACGGTCACCTGGGTCCTAACTCCAACATCCGATTTTGTTCACGATGTTCTTCCATACATACAATACATATGTTGTAATAATTAAATACACATAGTTACGGTCTTCTGAAATATCCTGAGATACTATAATTCTTAATCTTACTTCCTTCTTCAGATCTTGCCTTGCGCTGACATGAAATACGCAGTGGGCCAGGGCGCCCTAGCTGTGGAGTGTCGGTCGGACAATACGAACATTCTCAACATGTTGGCTCCCTTCAACCACCCAGAGACCTACTGCAGGATCCTCGCTGAAAGGAGTTTCCTAAAGACATTGGGTATGTAAGCGAAAATAATTAAGTTATAATTGGGGTAAAGGCAGGCAAAAAATTAATTAGTTTTCTTTATTTGTGTCTAAGTAACCACGTCGCTACAGTTTTGTATTTCATGAGACTAGAGCGATTTACTTTTTGCGCGCTCTGTGTCAGTAAGTCAGATCTTAAATGGCCAACAATACTAGCAAAAATGTACTAAATTTACTTATTTTCATAACAGGTGGAGGTTGCAGCGCCCCAGTCGGCGTCTCCACGACCCTCAAACCAGTAGATTCACAGTTCAGACTCTCTTTAACCGGAGCAGTTTGGAGTATGGACGGCAAAACAAAACTAGACCACACTCTTCAACAAACATTCGCACAAATCAGACGCACACAGAAACACAAACTTAGTCCCACAGAAGAATCCGAATGCAAAAAGGTCAAAACTGACAATGGTGAGTCCAAAAACGAAATCCTAAACCCTAATGAAGTACTTAAAGATGAGACTGTAGGTAAATCTGTTAATCAAGATAAAGAGGACGAAAGTGACAATCGCATATTCTGCGGGTTAACTATAAACACAAGTATACCCATAGATGTTATAATTAAATGTGATAATCTAGGTAAAGATGTAGCTAATGCCCTAATCGAGAAAGGTGCGCTAGATGTCATGAAAGTCACTCAAGATATTATAAGAAGTTCCACAGTTGGTAAAAGTTCATGATTAAAACCTCTTCATAGTGAAAAGGCTGTATGGACGTGTGTCTTGTTGTATAAAAGTTGTAGTGACACAAGTGGCCTTATTAAATCTTTTTTTATCTGTGCAAACAACTTGTGTTTAGAAACAAATTGTAGTTGAATTAAAAATGGCGTTTAACTCAAATGAGAGAAGAGTTAATTAAATAAATATTGTTTTAAAAGTTATTTAGTAAATGTAATGTATAATACAATGGCTAATTTTATACTGATTCATAAATTATGTATATTTGTAAATAAATGTTATTGTAAAAAGTGAAATCGTTGTCCAATACACGTTTGTAAATTGCAGTTTGACACCTTGCACGTAGGTGAAGTTAAGAGTAAAATCAAAATCTAAATGATTAAGTCCGCATACAACATTATTTTACCTGATTTTAGCCTTTGATTGCATATCAAAGGATTTTAGCAAAACTATAATTCTTGGATTTTCTGTAATGTCGTCCTTATCTTCCAATAACAGAGTTTATCATCAAATAAACTCATCAAGATTCTTTGTCATCGTTCTTTGAATGGCGATTTTTTTTCTTTTTCTTCAGTGAATATTTTCAATATTTTTTGTTTTTTGGCATAAGACATGACTGACTTATACAACGACTTTTGCTTAAGTTTAAATTAGGTATTCCCAGCGCAAATAAATTTTATTGACTGGAGTAGCAACTAAATGGAGACCTCATTTGTAAACTGTAATTGCAGTGATCAGCTTATTGCGTCATATTTCCAAACAAAATTAAAAATCTAATTACACAAACAAGTTTGAAAATTGTTATTTTTGGATCGATATTTCTTTCTTTTTGATGTTCAATTAACGTTTATGCTGTCTAAAATGCACATTAGAAAAATAACGCTAAAAGACACGATCACAATTTGGCTCTCCATTCACGCGTTACTCCATGGCGATGTGAAATTTCAGTCTGTTGGATGTTATGAATGTAATTTAGTTTATAAATCGTGTTCGTTATTATACTGTTTATTTAAAGAGTACTTATTAATTTATCATGTTTTTATTATTAAACAGAATATTTTACTGCCTCGCGCGTTTGTTTTCGTAATAAATTGTTTAAGTTACATCATCAAAGTTATATTGCGTTCGTTTTTGTTTGTAATAGACTGAAAAGTTTTTTTTTAATTTTCGTTCATTTAATACAGGTTCGGTATTGACTATTTATCACTTTGAGTTTTAAATCTGTAGTTGTAAGGTTGAAATTGGTGGATAGTAATTTTAGATAGACCCTTTTTAGTATCTAGTCCATTAATTTATGATGTTTATTGCTCCAATACTACTCCGATTCCAAGATTGTTATAAAAATATGTCACTTGTCGCGTCTGGCTTATAAACGCGACAGATCAAAGCCTACCCAAAGATTTTTGTACGATTTTCACCGTCATTTAGTGTTTCTGGGAAGACGCAAGTGGAAAAATTGCTGAAAAAATTAAAATATGTAAAATAAATTGCATTCCATTATTGAAAAGGATTTGAACCTCAAATAATGCAGCTACTGTAGACTTAACTTTTTCGCTCGCACCAGCCTTTCGTGTTAACAATGAACAAAATTTAAGTGTTTAGGTATAATACAGGTCGACATGTAATTAGTAAAGAACAGCTAAGCACGTGATATTAAGAACGATTCTTATGGAAATAGTAGGTAGCGCAAATGTCTTTTGTGATAAAGCGAATGAGTGAGTAGACTTTCTTTGGATAAGTTGTTTTCATTAGTCTACGCAACACGTGCTAAAGTGTATAGATCCTTCCGATTTTTATTTATATAAATTCTTGAATGTATAGTAAAGTTATTCTTGTGAATATAAAAAATATACCGGTGTTGTAACTACGATGTTGTGGTATCTCTATCTATTGTTGTTTTATGTTAATTTTATTTCAATAAACTGGTGAATGATTTGGGAACCTTAGTTTTATTATTATGATGGAATGTTTAAATAATATTAGGTCCATGTGCATGATATCGAGAGGAAGGTACCTAAGGATAATTTTCAACAGCTGGCATTATACTAACTTATTCTAACTCCAAATCCTATTACAATGATAATGATATCAGATGGGCAACTCGAGTCAGACCGTGAGAGATTTAGCCCGAGCTTATAAATCTACATCCCGTGTGATCCGGAGAGCACGCGTACCTAATGGTAAATATAACATAACTAGTTATGTTATTATGTAGTGCAAAAGAATGGTTAATGTTCACACTTTGAATCATATTTAGCCTGATTTTTACAGGCTCAATTATGGACATGGACTAGACGCCATGCAGCGGGTCTCGGGCCCGACCCGGTGAACCGAGAACGTAGTAAACTAGCAACTCGCGAAACGATGTACTGAGTATATTGTCTACTGATAGAACGGATGATGTGGCGTCGGCGACGCCGATGTGACGTACGTACCTTGTGTCGAGTTCAAAGAGATTCTCTTTGGTCGAGTTGGTTAATGGGTCAACTCGAGTGACCAATCGACAATTTGTGCCAATCGCTAGGCATCATCCAGAACGTGCAGCAGCTCAAAATAAAACAAGTAAATTTGTACAATACTTTTATTTCACAATAAAATCTCAATCAAAACTCACAAGCATCCTTAACCAGTTGTGAACACAAAACAAAACCTAAATAACACTAACAAATACCTACATTATTATTGAACTTGCTTTACTCCATACTACGTCCCATTTGCAAGGTGTAACAGACGTCCTAAAATGGCGGATCGATTTTCAAGCACATTTTGTATCACAGCCCAATGCACGTACTTGGAAAATTTAAGGCTTTGAAAGTCGAAAGAAAATTTAGTCTAAGATGAAATAATTACAATAATAGTTTCTTTGATGGGTTGCTTTATAATTAACTTAACTGTACTACTGTAGGTCTCTCAACTAGAAGGAGCGCGGTATGTACCGCAACGGTTCGTTGATCGACGGACCTCAGTCTGGCAAGACTCACGCCCGATAACTCTGTCTACAGAGGAAGATGCTAACAAATGATGAAATGTTGCATTGTTTCATTAATCTACTAGCTACATTGACGTAAGGCGGTTATTTAACATTAATCAATCGGTTTCTTACATTAAGTTCTTAATATATGAATTATTTTCATAGAATATTCAGTTAGGGCACCTAAAATAAATATTAAATTAATCAGTTAATTGAAGTTAGAGGCCTTACGTCAAAGCAGCGCTGTGTCGATCAAAGATGGAAGTTTCCATGATTAGCGAGATATAGAAAATATATTCAGAAAATATATCTCCTCTCCTAGAGTGTTGTTATTTATTCGACGTCCTCCTCCTGGAGCATCTTGCCGCTAGCCTTCATGGAGGCGCGGAGCCTCTCCGACACTTCCGGCAGCTTCTTCAGCAGCAGGTGGAAGATCGGGGCTGGCATTGTCTGTTGCAATACCTGGAAACCACAACATATACATTTAATAAGGTATATTTTTAAACAAACAATTTTCAGGAACATTAGAAAGCAGTCACACTTAGTATGTGTATTATTAAAGAGTATAAATGCGCGTGTAGCACGAGAGAAAGACAAGCAAGTAGATATTGAAACAACTGCTCATAAAACCAATCATATAAAATATATGTTCAATGTTCGTGTCATTCCGACAGCAGAACAACTTAATAATTTGAAAGTAATATAGAAAAGTGAAGTAGTATATGTTGTGGTGGCCCGCAGGTTAAGGCGCCCGCTTCTCATGCATGAGGGTGCTGGTTCGAAACCTGGCAAGTACCAATGTGACTTTTTCCGAGTTATATGTACTTTCTATGATTATTTAGACACCACTGACATACGGTGAAGGTAAACATCGTGAGGAAACCTGGACTTATAATTTCTAATTATAAGTTTGAAATCACCAACCCGCATTGAGCAAGCGTGGTGATTAATGCTCTAACCTTCTCCGTGTGAGAAGAGGCCTTTGCTCAGCAGTGGGCACTTATAGGCTGATGATGATGATGATAGAAAAGTAAAAAATTGTAGCAGTTTCATTATATTTTAGCCAGTAACAAATCGAGTATTTAATTGTTACTGGAAATGTTTCTTTATCGATAGATTGGTACGAGTGTCTATCGAGGGCGACGCTGATTGCTTACCATCAGGTAATGTATAAAAATATAAGTTTACTTACGCCGAGGAGCTGTTGCGTCTGTCCGCAGACGGCGACAGCCTGTCCAAGGTGCTCCACGCCAGCCTCCAAGTCACCAGCAGCTAGCAACTCCTCACCAAGCTGAATCTGAAATTATTCCATGAACCAAATTAAGTTTCTCATTTTGGAAACGTTTTTTCAAATGTCTATTATGTTATCCAAATTTATTTACTCACAGATTAATAAACGAAGCTGTTTTTTAATGAAAATATTCATTAAATAACGCATGCAAAACTGTTCTAACATTTTTCAAAGTTTTTAAGATCAAAATTAACTAAAAATCGCGGGTTACTCACGTGTATATATTGAGAAAAGCTCTACTAGTTTCGAACCACATAGGGGAGTAGGGGAGTAGGCTGCGTGACGTCGCCGCGTCCGCGCAAGCTGTTCATGAGGAAGAACCCCTTTGTGGTTCGAAACTAGTAGAGCTTTTCTCAATATATACACGTGAGTAACCCGCGATTTTTAGTTAATTTAGTATGTCTCACGATAGTTTAAAGATCAAAAAGTTTCTGCAATAATATCAATGAACCAATAAATCGAGATAAGATAAGCTTGTTATCCAAAGGCCCCACTAGATGCCCACTGTAGCTTAGTCTGTTAGCACCCAGGCCCCCAATATTAACAGATTAAAAGATGGTATGTTTCTATTGCCGCTATCAAAGGTAATTTTATTATTACTAAGGAACTTTTTTAACGACTCCGACTCACACTGTCTGTTTCTTTTTTTTATGGAATAGGTCGGCAAACGAGCATACGGATTACCTGATGGTAAGTAATCAGCGCCGCCCATGGACACCCGCAACGGAGGAGTTACGAGTGCGTTGCCGACCTTTTAGGGATTAGAATTTTGGAGATTTAGGGATTGGGATGGATCGGGGGAGGGAAGGATTGGGCCTCCGGTAACCTCACTCACACGGCGAAACACAACGCTGTGGTTGTTTCACGTCGGTATTCTGTGAGGCCGTGGTATCACTCCGGTCGAGCCGACCCATTCGTGCCAAAGCTTGGCTCTCCCACACTTATTGAAACCTTGGTCCTGATAATACCAAATACAACATATATGCACATATACCATATTTTATTTATATACATTTGTGTGTTTACCTGTTGCAAGAAGAACCTCTGCATAGCCTCATGATCACTCATGTCCGGCAGCGGACCGCCCATGGTGCGCGATCGAGATGCATTCTGTTGGGCCTTCTGTCTGCCTGTAAACAACATTATTATTTTAATATAGCTGTTATTCCTTCTCTATATTTATGAACTGTACCTGAGTGATTATTCACCAAAATAATAGAAGTTTTTTTTTTCTAAATAGGTATTCATAATGGTTACTTTTAACGGCACTTATGATGTTTAAACATTTGAGATATTACCAATATCTTTATCTGATATGTATGGGTGAGAAATATCAATTATTATTACATCATGGCATAACATGATGAATTTAGGTTTTACATCATTCAAAGACTTTACAAAAAAACTAATTTTATCTAAAAAAAAATACATGAACCTACAGAAACAGTACCTATAACCCATTTTCTGTCCAGTAGACATATTTGCTTAAAGTTATAAAACTTCTGTATTGTGATTTTTTCACATGATTTTTTTTAAATGTCTATGTAGAAAGAATGGCACAATAGATGCACAGACGATTTATGAGGCATAAAACCTCCTTGAACAGTTACCTGGTAGACAAAAAGGAGTCTTTTGCTATTCTGACTCTGCAGATAAAATAATATTAAATCTTTAATAATAAGTATTAAGTACTTTCTGTAATTTCTTACTTTGCTATGTAGTTACACATTCACAGACCACATTTTATTGAACACCTGAATAACTATTTGTTCTTTTTTAACTTTTCTTTCAGTGAAACTTACTTCAATAATAGTAAAAATATAACTAGGGCCCGGATTATATGCATCATGAAAGTGCCATGCATGCAAATATGTACCAAAACAAATGCTTGTGATGTTTCCAACTGAAATATGTGTAAGAAAGTTCAAAATTATACCCTTAGCATGTTTAATGCACTGATGATACACACAATAAAAATTTCCAAAACCTGAAGTTAAGTCAGTCATAGAGGTCAAACCAAACTCGATTCACTGAGTTTCCTATATTTTTCTTCAAATACCAATATATCATCAGTCAAAAAGAGAGAAAATATGCACATACAATTATAAAACCTGTACAAATATGCAATGTTCTGTCTATATAACACTGCATATTTAATAAAAATGTTAAGTAACAAAGAAAGCAGAAGACTACCTATTGACTAATTTTGACCAACATGCAGCAAAAGACAACAAACATATTGTAATAAAATATTATAGTTTCTTGGTGCTTCTGACCGATAAATGTATTTTTTATTTCTTGTCTATTACTAACTGAAGTTTAAGAGGTTATTGGTGTATCTTTTGCTGATACTTAATGTTTCAAATTAAAGTTTATATGAATGTGAGCATGATATGATAACTGTCTTCACCTTCAAATAATAATAGTACTTTGAGACCCTGGGGCCTATACATAGCCTTATCTAAAGACAAAAAGATCGGCTTAATAAGAGGCCTTTTATAAGGTTATTTACTTAATACAAGGAATAAAAATCCTCATGATGAAATATCAACGAAATATACAGCAACCGCTAGTTATGTAGGTACAGGCTTACTTAAATGCACATCATATTTATGTTTTAGATCATTGCAAAAGCGTGTTTGGCACACTCAATCAAAAGCGGCTAATTTTATGATACTATAGTTACAATGTAGTTATGTATAATTTATATAGTTACACAAAGTACTAACGCACTGCGTTTTTACTATCGTTGTCTGTGATGCACCGGGGCAGGCATACAGTTATTCAAGCGAGAAATGATTGATGCATGATGTTGTAACAATACTCCTTGTGAAATTTTTAGGTTAACAAAAAAATGAAATGTGTTTTAAAGTAAATCAATTGTTTCAAATGTGTAATAATACGAACATAAGTACACAATATCATGATCTTTTCATTAAATTATTCTAAAAACTTACGTTCTCTCAGCTTCTTCTTGAAAAGAGGATCCTTGCGACGTTGTTGGTCAAAGTACACACAATATCCAAGGAATAGGGTGCCAGCTATTCCAACTGCAATTCCTAAGGTAGTACGCGTAATCTCCATTTTTAAGGTTCACCTGCGTTGTTTTATTCACAGAAAATACCAACTCGCTTTTGTTAGAGAATTTTGAGATCCGCCATTTAACAAAAAGGATTTTGTAGGTGGCAACATCTGTATTTTTCCCCTTTTTGGTCCACAGATAATATAAATGCTGATTACGTAACCAGTTATTTTACAAAATCAAATAAATATATTGAAATAATTTATTCATTTTAATAAAAATATTGCTCATTAAATAGATTATTCAATCTACAAAAACAGTAAAGTTATAATAATAAGTTACTTGGAAGTGAAAACTAGTCAAAAGGGCTCTTTACATATTTTGAGTTGCCTCATCAAAATTTGTCATATGTACACATGACTGAAATTCAGTATTTATAAATACTTTTCCTATTCTAATATCAAAAATAACTATTTATGCCGAAGGACCCTTGCAAGAAATTCGCGTGCGCCATCCAAAGATGCCTTGTTGGTGAGTTTTTTCATTATAATTTTATTTACGAACCTCTTCGCCGACAGCCGACATAAAATCAGTCGCCATCTTTGCTTCAACCTTTCAATCGCCTCCACAGATTTGCGGGCGTTTCATCGCCGTTTTTCAATGTTTTGCTCAAATAAATCGTTACATTTTTGTTGTAAAGCCACGTAAAAAGTTTGCGATAAGTTGTGTAAGTGATAAGTGCGAAAATGAGCTTTTTCGGGTTCGGACAGACTGCGGATATTGAAATCGTATTTGATGATGCTGACAAACGGAAGGTTGCTGAAGTGAAAACGGATGAAGGCAAAAAGGAGAAGTTATTGTTGTATTACGACGGCGAAACCGTTTCGGGTAGAGTGAACGTCACTCTGAGGAAACCTGGATCAAAACTTGAACACCAAGGTATCAAGGTCGAACTTATAGGTCAGATCGAATTATTTTACGATAGAGGTAATCATCATGAATTTATATCGTTAGTAAAGGAGTTGGCACGCCCTGGTGACCTGTTACAGCATACCTCGTATCCGTTCGAGTTCGCTAACGTTGAAAAACCATACGAAGTTTATACGGGTGCTAATGTCAGACTGAGGTATTTTTTGAGGGCTACAATAGTTCGTCGCCTCACAGATGTCGTCAAAGAGGTGGATATCGCTGTCCATACACTATGCAGCTATCCCGACCTATTAAACTCTATTAAAATGGAAGTAGGCATAGAAGACTGCCTACACATAGAATTTGAGTACAACAAATCAAAATACCATTTGAAGGATGTAATTGTTGGTAAAATCTATTTCCTCCTTGTCCGTATTAAAATCAAACATATGGAGATATCAATAATTAAAAGAGAAACAACTGGTTCTGGGCCTAACACTTTCACAGAGAATGAGACAGTTGCAAAGTATGAAATTATGGATGGGGCCCCTGTTAGAGGAGAAAGCATTCCTATAAGAGTGTTCTTAGCTGGTTATGACCTGACACCAACTATGAGGGATATAAACAATAAGTTTTCAGTGCGATACTACCTAAATCTGGTGTTAATGGATACTGAAGACCGCCGTTACTTTAAACAACAAGAGGTGACCCTATGGAGGAAAAGTGACAAGTCTAGACTACCCCTACATAATGCACATGTCCCCCAAACATTGTCTCACCCAAGTCAACAAATGCCAAGACAGCTGAGTGCTTCTAGTGAAGACAACTCCAACAGAGCAATATCTCCAAACAATCCTAACATAAACAACATGCAAAGATCTGTCTCCCTGTCTATGAATGATGGAGAGAAACAGAATGGACCTTCTGAGATGGAGCAGGAACAACCTGATGTGATAACCAATAAAATGTCCAACACGCACATTGAAAATAACCAGGCAGATGAAGAAGATGATGATGATTCTGCCCCCATTTTGGAGAAACAAACAATATCTGAGAAACCACCCCTTGCTGAGAAACCTCAAGTTTCTGAGAAGCCAGTTTTAGCGGAGAAGCCAGTTCTAAACCGGCCTGAAAGTGAAGCTAGTCCAAGTCAATAGCCGATATGTACATGCGCGGTCCACTTGACAGGCGCTGAAGATATGAACTATATGTTTTCATATTTGAAAACTATAATTTAATGGATTGTAGTTATATTGACTTTTCATGTAGTTATCAGACATAGTTTGTAGCCTACAGTGGAAAGTTGGTACAACTGTGTCCTATACTGAAATTGTTGTAGAATTCAGGATTTCTATAAATAAAATGTTGGAGCTGTATAAATGGAAATTATTCACATACTGAATATTGTCAGCATTTAAATGGAATATGGGCTCTAATTGTAAGTGTACAATGCTATCATTGTGAGAATAGTTGGTGGGTTATCTTCAGAAATCCTTATGATGTAAGTTTGCTAACAAAATGGTACCTTATTGCTGCAAATTAAAGAATATTTTAGTAGAACATCAATCATGTGTATCTCAGAAGCCATTGTTTTTGCATGTAAGACCTTATTATTTTAATCAAATAGATGTGCTTGTTGTTTGACTTTTGGATTACAACAATGAATCACTAAGTTGAGGTGACATTTTAGAAATGTGATTTCAGTCAGTAATGAAACACATGAAGTATGCAAATACTGTTTATCTTTTCAATTGGAATGTGTATAAATATAATCCATCATTGAAAGCAGTTACATTCTAGGTACCTATTTAATATCAGAGCACTTATCAAACTGGTTCACTGACGGTTAAAGCAAACTTATCTAAAACTCACATTGAATTGTGTGTAATTTAATTTATCTGTAATTGTTGAATATTTTAAATATCTGAAGCTAATAAACGGTCCATTAAACAAGTAGGTAGTAATTAACAAACGGTTCATATAAGGAAATTATTAAAATTCTTTTTTATGACAGCACACATAAAGTATAATTGTATTTAATATAGAAACAGATGAACTTATAGATTAAAATAACCATACTTTATTCAGTGATAACAAATGCAATTTTATACAGCCCCTAATTATTTTGTGTAAATCAAATTAGTGAAAATAAATGTTAACAATTTTATCACTGTCCTGTGCAGTGCGCAGCTTTATATTCTCACAGACATTGTCATTAATTTTGCTGATAGAAGATTGTTTTCATAGAAAATTATCAAAAGTGTGATTATACATAGTGTGTATATTAAAATATAAAAAAAAGAATGTATTTTAAGAATATTTGGAAAGTCAAAAATGTAGGTGTCTGAAATAATATGCGAGAATTTAGTTTTTTTTTATTGCGTAAAAATTGCTTCATATATTCTAGTTAAGTTTTGCAATATTTTGATGATTTTAAAATTTTTAGTGCCTCAGGATCTGCCATTTTTTATCATATTACGAAAATAATTAATTTTACAATAATTCAAGAGTCTGATTTTATATATGTATTATTATAATGATTCCACCAAAATTGTTTTACAAATGTAAACCTTACATAACTTTGTAGAATTATAATACGTATTATATTCAGCCACACAGAGCCACTTCAAATCGGGTTGTTAGTAGGCTTCTTAACATTTGAATTTGTTAAAAATGTTGTCAATCAACATTTTTATAAAACAAGTTAAAACGCGCGCGGTGCCATTGTTTTTATCAGAACTCATTATTTTACTAGTTCAAATGGAAAGTAAATCCAATTAATGTGTGATTTTTTTAATTGAGGTAATAATATTTGGTTTTAAAATCAATCACATGTAATTATTACTTATTTATCGCACTGCAGCTAGATTTCAGTAAAACGGCGTAAGAGCTATGAAAAGTTTCATGTTATCGTGAAGCTCTGTCCATTTCAATAAAAGTATTTATTAATTCCTAGGTCCAACATGGACCTGCTTATCGCTCTTTAAAAGTGAAATTTCTATTATATTATAAAAAGTGATTTGTTAAAGCAATTTAAGTGTTTGGGCTTTGTTATTTGTACATATCATTGCATTGTTAAACAATGCACGACCATAGATTGTATCTACATCAATTTATTTCAATTGAATCCGTCAAGAGAGCAGTTAGTACCAATTGTAAGCACGTCACGGTATTAGGAAATTATTACGACGGGACCGACTTAGATTCCGGCGCAAACGAAATAATATTGCAATGAATATTTGATTTTGTTAAAGCTACTATAGTAACGTGAATCTAACAAGACAAATGTCTGTAAAAAGTATACTAAATATGTATTTCGTATTTAATTAGTTTAAGTTTAAAATGTTTTACGGCGAATGGGCTGGTGGAATGCCTTACTGTAAAATGCATGCAAGGAACAGATCCATCTTATTTGTTGAAGGCTCTTGTGCTGTCCACGGATAATTTATGTAGATTATATCCATTATTTTTATGTAAATTAAGTAAAGTTACAAGTTATTGAAAATATTGTGTTATATTAATAATTGTTTGGTTTTAGTATCACACTGTATAATATAGATATCTTGTTTCTATTGAGATTAAGGCGGCATGTCGATTGTAACATTATTGTTAATAAAATATATATGTATAAATTGCTGAAAACGTTTTTTATTGACCGCTTATTGAGCGTGCTAGTTTTAATTGCAGTGACAATTAAAAAAACCTACGACTTGTGTACCTAATGTTGACGATTACGTAATAAAAATCCATCAAGGAGGATGTTTCTAGTACAGAATTTCGGTGAATACTTATAAAGTGGGTATTAGTGGGTGTAGTTATCAGGTCAGGGTGTTATTTGTGTACTATATTACTATGTGTGCAACATCGTAAGCTGATTACCTAATAAGGCGTTGATCCCTGTAGCTAGTGTACGTTACACATTAGTAGATAACGAGTAACGAGATCGTAAAAGGCCACAGAATATTTACTTATTATGTACCTACTAAAACACTTCTTCAAGAATATATTAACTGACAATTTTTTGTTTTATCAGTGGAGGGATTCAAATGAAAATGTTATATTCTCTGCGAACAGAGCTAGCCACGGCTCCCATGAATATCCGCACCATAAGGGGGTTCTGAGGGTTTTTATTAGTGCTTTGCCAAACTTTTGGGGTTTCGGAATCTGGTAGAGATTTGGTCTTCCGATAACCTCACGCACACAGTGAATCAACGCGTTGTGAGGCTGTGGTATCACTTCAGTCAAATAGACCCATTAGTGCCGAAGCATAGTTTTCCCACACTTAATTACTTGCACTTTTTTAGCCGAAAGACTCACCAGATTGGTACTCCTACATTTGATCGCATATGTAGCTATGATTCAGACTTCACTGACCGCCCCCTTTTCGATAACACATGATTGGCAATTATTTGTGTAGTTTTTGTTGTTTGATACAAAAAGTAAGATAATTTCTAATCGTATTGACTCATGATAATGTAAGCGTAAAACAGTTTCTTGTCTATGTATGTAGGTATTATCTACCTACTTTACAAATTAATAAATAGTCAGACTTTGTACCTATCTACTTATCTATCTTTCGGAAGGAAATATTTAGAAGTAAGTAAGTAATGTTAAAGCACGCCTGTGGTTCTGATTCTTCTAGGAATCAGGTCAAATGTCAGATTAAACAGGTCCTCAAAGTCTCAAAGGGACATCGACTTTGTGCTAGGCATGCCCTACAAATCAAGAATTTTAGGGAGTTCCGCAACCGTAACCGAATCCGAAATAAAAGTTTCGGACAATATCAGATCAGAGTGGAGCCTTATTCTTACACCTTATGACAGATTGGTTAATTCATCAAACCCCAAGCGAACGCCAGCGCCCGACGTTCGCGCACCTATCTATTGTGTCTCGAATTACCACAACTGAAAGGTTAAACCTTTTAATTGTAATTAGCTAATAAACTAAAAAATTACATAGGTACCCATCTAAAAATTACCTACTACCTAATGGTTAAACGCTATTTAAGTATATTTTAGTTCTAAAATTCCTCAAAAATATAGGTACCTAATATCCGTAATTGAAATCATCCGAAAATAATGGACTATCCGAAATTTTATACCCATAATATCCCTGTTACAATATTCCAGTTGGGTCTTGTAAAGTATATCGATTAATGTAAGTATTTAAGTAATGTCAATGTAACAACAGAGTCTCTTGAAACCACTATCTATTGATCACAAACACCAATACAGTTTTAAATTGTTTAGATCCTGTTTAGGTTGGTAGCCGGAGGAAGTTAAAATGTTGAAAAGCTCTGATGCATTGTAGCACCTAATTCAATTTAGTCCGTGGTTGAGTTATTTTTATTAGAAGTAATCAAATAACCTGCCTACCCTCCCCGAGTTTAGCACCAGTATTATTATTCTTGAGAACCGTGATTAGGTTTTAAGTTTCCAAAATCTTTCTATTTTTTGAGTTCCTATTGTCATAGTTTTAAATATTATTTTAAAAGCGTTAATGAGCAGCGATAATTCTGTAAAACAGCTGTTTATAGGTACAGCTCAACCCAACCAAAGAATGAGTGAGTTCACTCATTCTTGGTTAGGCAACTGACTGCCGCGCATCATACCGCGGTTTCAATTCCCGCACGAAACAACTCTTTGCGTGATCCACAAATTGTTGTTCCGGGTCTGGGTGTAATGTGTGTGCCAAATCGTTTGTTTGTAAACACAGCCATGATAATGGAGAAAAATCCTAGGGCTGGGCAACGATTTTTTTAAACGTATATTAATGTGATTCGTGATGCATTGAATCAAGCAAAAAGACCTCACACATTGAATAAGCTGATCCTGTCAAATAGGTACCTACATATCAAGTAGTATATATGATCTGAAACAGAAGACTATAGGTGCCTACATAAGTAGGTCAGTATTGCATCATGAACATGATGACACATTGAATCAATTATGACGTTATGATGAAGTGCAAATTGAAATAATTTGCACGTCGTTTTGTCATGCGAGCGATGCAGTGATACTTTGTACAAATCAACTACAACAACAGATCATATATAGGACTTCTAATTTTTCAAAAATCTATGAAGTTTATTGTCATAATAAAATTGGATTTCTACATGATATTTGATTGAGTTCGAAGATCAATCATTGAATTTTTGCATACTAGAACTCTTGTACCTAAGTAGAAAGTGTAGGTAGGTATTGCAATCCCTCTACAATAAAGTAGGGTAAGGCTTAATAGGATTCATTTTATAAATTTCAAAATGCGGACGCGACCTTGGGGCAACTGGCTGCCGTGCAACGTGTCCTTGCTTCCCACGGGAACCTCTCTTTGCGTAATCCATAAATTGTTCTTCTTGGACTGGGTGTCATGTGTTTGTGTTACACACATAACTTGAATAAGCCCCATGATACAGGAGAATTGGGGTTACTTTTTAGTTAATTTACTTTTTTCTCGTTCGAATGTCTTAATGGGTTTGGTAGAAAATTTGAATTTACCTACTTGTTTTAAATCCACGTATCTCAGGCAGAGCTGCAAGAAAAAGCTTGTAAAGAACCAATTCTACGTTTAAGCAGATGCTTCTCAAGTGGCCGTGACCTACAATAAGTCAGTCAGGGACATGATTGTTCGCTGGAACGGGTAGCCTCGCAGATTACCTATTGAAGTAGCAAAAACTTTGTCAACCGGCTTGCGATAGTTGTTGCGACTATGGTCTATAATAGCACACAGTAATTAGCTACCGACCTATGTACCTGCATATATTTATTAGGCCTTGGGCCCAATAAAGGCTTGAAGTTATCGATGCGTGCCTAACATGGAATATGTGCAAATAAAATACCTATCTTTTCCCGTAGGTATCATTAGGGCCTACTAATAAATAAAACTACCATAATTCATAGAAAACTTCTCCTGCCCAAGGCGAGGCGGGAGGGAGTCACTGACTAAAAGAGGGGGCTCTTTTCATCACCTGCTCTAGGCCGAGGCCGGGGTGACTTATTGCGCTTGCCCCGCAACCCCATATACTAACTACCTACTACTCTTTAGTGAATTAAATATATGAATGTGTGCTTCTACCTCAAGGCAGATCTTGTTTGGAAGGGAAAATTGAAAACTGTTTTACAATATTATTTGCAGACCGCGCAGAATATATCATTACTAACAAGCAAAAACAAGTATGTAGGTAATTGCTTTTAAAAAAACTGTAGTTTGCTGACCTCTGAGCCAAACCCCCGACGTCTGTGACGTCCATCCGAACGTGTTTGCGTTGACGTAAAACAGTTTTTAATGACTTGGCAGCGACATTAGTTGGTCTTGATGAATGTGTACGAATTTTATACATACCAACTGTTGCTGTTGACTATATTATTCACGAATGTTTTCTTCGGTACAAAAAGTATTTTAAAACATCTTTGTTTTTCTCAAGCAATATTTTATTTTCATAATTCAGAAGCAGTTAATTGCAGAATATAGGCCCCCTTCTTATAGTTCGTCCCGTCAAACTATAAGTGATCCTTACCTAACTAATCTCATTTCATTTTATGATGAACAGGTTGCACGCTGAAAAGTTGCTCAATACCGTACCAATGACAATTCTCTCCCTGCGTCTTTGGATTAGAATGTTGTAACACAAAATGGCATTTCTGAGTACTATATCTCCATATTACATTTCTAAGTCTAGATATTGCATATTGCTAACCACAAAAACCACAGCTTCATATCCTCTTAGTACTTGTTTATTCCGTCAAAATATAAATAGATTAGTTTTTATAATTATGTCTCAATGGTTAATTATGGGGTTATTGAGTGATACATGAACACCGAGTTTCAATAACTATATTTAGTACTTGTATGTACTCTAGGGGCAAGAGTGAGTGTCAGACTCTTATCGACTAAAATTCACCCTGTTTCTTCGGCACCGGGCCGGTGCTTAGTGCATTGCTACGCTTGGACCCGTACCCTCGCCGGACCCATATTACATATGCTTATTTACTGTTTGTTTGTTATGTAGGTAACTTTCTGTTCGGCAACTAAGACCTCTTACACAAAAATAAGTGTAATAATAATACGAAACAGTGTCTGAAGTTCATTTGTCATCATTCCATTTTGTTATTAGATTGATGATCAGATTATTTCTGGGCAGCGCTAATTAAAAGGGAATAATAGAATAGCTTTGTTTTGGTTACTTTAAATTAAAGCACCCACCTAGGTCTTGTAAGGGCTTTGTTCGCGCGCCTGATGGTTTTTTTAAGAGCATCAACATACACTTATGAAAAGTATAAATTGTGAGGAATTCTGAAAATTACCCCACTTGCTATACTTAACTCATGAAGTTACCACCCATTCGTTTATTAGTTATTAAAACCGTGTTCGAGTATTTTTCCTGAGTCCATCCACATCAACCCTGTTTCCGCACAGGCTTTTTTAATGTTTTCATATTTGGGGATCGACAGAAAATACCTATAGTAAAATAAAGGTTATCGTTGGTGTAATATTTTTAACAAAACTTTCCTATCAAACATCAAGGCCAGGACGCATCCCAGGAGATACATTTTATACCTAGTGTCATAATCGTAAACAGTTGACAATCGCGGACTCGGTCATTACATTCGTCCGAACACGTGACGAGACGAATGTGACGAATCGTCAATGAACGTGCGAAGTAAGGGGCGTATGTTTACTTCCGAACTAGATGTCACTACATCATAATATGCGCCTGTAGTCATTGATATGGAATGACGAACATTCTAGAATTGTGGGCGGTATTTGTTTTTGTTTCTGATTTAGGACATGCATAACTTAGTCTTTGTATTTAGCTGAGGTTGCGAGCTACGCGCAACAATGTACCAGGGAAAGGAGGCTAGTCCGGTGGGGTGGTTTTCAGTCTATAACGGTCTAATAATTCTTCTCGCAGTGAGGTCGAGAGAAGGCTTCTTATTCTAACAAAAATGATAGGTACTCGTAGTCGTAGTAGATACTAAGTTGGAAAATTTGCAAATCCCATAATTTGGACAATATTGACTATTTCACCATGTCCTGTGACTAGTGTTATTTCGAATTGAGAAACTGTATGTGGTTGGTGCTCCTGTATAATGATTATGAATGGGTCTAATAAAAAGTACAGGTGGAAATATTTACATTAAAACTAACCAAGTTTTTTTCTGCTTCTTACAGAGAACGACTTCCAAGAAGTCCGCTGCGATAAAGTGTTCGAAGCGATGCGCCAGTGCTGTATTAAGTTTAAGCCGATAAACGTGTCTCTTGTATGCGAAGGTTACGACTTGGAGCCGCGGAAGTACGCGCCGGTCACAGATAGACCGGCTAAGTAAGGTATATTCAAATCGTGACAGAAAAATCTAGAAGGTGCCTATACGTTATTAGGAATTTTTGCACCCAAGGACTAATCCTAGTGCATTAAAATTAAACTACAAAAGTAAAGTAACGATTAAGAAAATATCTGCTTTAGATATGGTAAGCAATCGACGCCATCCATAGACAAGCGCATCAACAGAGAAATTGCAATTGCGTTGAATGGGATTACGGGTTGGATCTCTCCCACCCGGCGAAACACAACGTTTTGGCTGTTCCATGTCGGTTTTATTGTTTGGCCGTGTTGTCAATCCGAGACGGCCCATCGTGCCGAAGCTTTGGCTCGTCCCACAATTACGTATCCATACGTACCTATAGTATCGGTTTACTTTCCCTGATATCGTAAAACCTATAGGTCTTTTATGATTTAGGTTAGGTTACTACTACTAATATTTAGCAGACAAAATTATTTTCCTTGGGTTAATAATTGATTTCTTTTTTCTTCCAGAGAAGCTATGGATAATCGTCGTCGGAGCCAACCTCTAGGTAAAAGAAGTTGGATCTATAGGTACCCCAAAACCTTCCAAATCACCTTCACCGCTCTGGGCCTCGGGATATTCTTTTCGAAGCCCATATACGACATTTTCTTTCGACCGCGCGAACCGATCGACTTGACGGAACCAGCCACTACGTTCTCGGTTCGCCGTAAAGTCGAGTAATTATGGAATCTATTTCTAAAGCCAAAGAGAGACTAGGAAAGTATCCCGTGGTATTTGCGAAGTGTTCCAAGCAGAGTGTCCTGTACGCACGCTGCGTCTTACTTAAGGAAGGCTCGGTGAAAAAGGACGATTGCGCGAAAGAATTCCAGGAGTTCAAAACTTGTTTATATTCCGCTGCTAGAGATTTGAAGACCAGGATCTAGGATGAATCGTTATTTGGAAGTCCTTAATCTGCCTTTACGCTACCACTTAGCCGCAGGACTTTTTATAAGACTATTTTTGATCGTTTACGCCGATTTTCACGATAAAACTTATGATTTGCCATACACTGACATTGATTATTCCGTGTTTTCTGATGCCGCAAGACACGTATATAATGGAGATTCTCCATACAAACGACAGACATATAGATATAGTCCCCTAATATCTTATCTGCTTGTACCAAACATCATCTTTGGGAAAGACTTTGGCAAAATTCTATTTTCTGTATTTGATCTGTTCATAACGGTCGCAGTGAAGAATTTAGTGGAACACCAGCTAGGTCCTAAGAGCGCCGCTACTAATGTGCCCATGTACTGTTCATTCCTGTGGCTTTACAATCCGCTGAGCATTGGCATATCGACTCGTGGTAACGCAGATTCCGTCTCGTGTTTCACCATCATTCTTTCACTGCTCTTACTGCAAACCGATGTGGTTAAAGGACTCAAAAAATATGCGTTATCAGGCCTATTCCTCGGTATATCGATCCATCTACGCTTGTATCCAATCGTGTTTAGTTTTCCCATGTATCTAAGCTTAGGAGTCACTAAAATACCGCGCCAGACCACTTTGAGACAAGGAATGCTAATCTTATGGCCAAATATAAGCCAATTGATTTTGGCTACGAGCTGTATAGTCACTCTATTGAGTCTAACTTACAGTATGTATGCGTTGTACGGCTACGATTTCCTTTACGAGACGTACATTTATCATGTACATAGAACTGATACTCGGCACAATTTCTCTGTACTCTTTTATTAATTGAATTTTGGAGATTTAGGGCTGATTTTTCAATAGTCAGATAAATGCTATCTGAGGAATAAATTTGTTGCTACCACTGTCTTATTCAAACATCCTGACGCGACAGCATTAACTTTTATCTAACCATTGAAAAATCAGCCCTTAATAATTGAAAGGGATTACGGGTTGTGTCTCCGGTACCCACACGGTGAAACACAAGCACAACGTTGTGGTTGTTCCATGTCGGTTTTATTGTTTGGCCGTGGTGTCAATCCGGTGGAGACGGCCCATCGTGCCAAAGCATTGGCTGTCCCACAATTACGTATCTATACGTATCGTTTTGGTTTACTTTCCCTGATATCGTGAAACCCATAAGTTATTTATGTGCTAAAATTAAGTACAATTTAGCAAACAAAATTATTTTCACTTGGGTTAATAATTGATTTCTTTTTTCTTCCAGAGAAGTTATGGATAACCGTCGTCGGAGCCAACCTCTAGGTAAAAGAAGTTGGATCTATAGGTACCCCAAAACCTTCCAAATCACATTCACCGCTCTCGGCCTCGGGATATTCTTTTCGAAGCCCATATACGACATTTTCTTTCGACCGCGCGAACCGATCGACTTGACGGAACCAGCCACTACGTTCTCGGTTCGCCGTAAAGTCGAGTAATTATGGAATCTATTTCTAAAGCCAAAGAAAGACTATCAAAGTATCCCGTGGTATTTGCGAAGTGTTCCAAGCAGAGTGTTCTGTACGCACGCTGCGTCTTACTCAAGGAAGGCTCGGTGAAAAAAGACGATTGCGCGAAAGAATTCCAGGAGTTCAAAACCTGTTTATATTCCGCTGCTAGAGATTTGAAGACCAGGATCTAGGATGAATCGTTATTTGGAAGTCCTTAATCTGCCTTTACGCTACCACTTAGCCGCAGGACTTTTTATAAGACTATTTTTGATCGTTTACGCCGATTTTCACGATAAAACTTATGATTTGCCATACACTGACATTGACTATTCCGTGTTTTCTGATGCCGCACGGCACGTGTATAATGGAGACTCTCCATACAAACGACAGACATATAGATATAGTCCCCTAATATCCTATCTGCTTGTACCAAACATCATCTTTGGGAAAGACTTTGGCAAAATTCTATTTTCTGTATTTGATCTGTTCATAACGGTCGCAGTGAAGAATTTAGTGGAACACCAGCTAGGTCCTAAGAGCGCCGCTACTAATGTGCCCATGTACTGTTCATTCCTGTGGCTTTACAATCCGCTGAGCATTGGCATATCGACTCGTGGTAACGCAGATTCCGTCTCGTGTTTCACCATCATTCTTTCACTGCTCTTACTGCAAACCGATGTGGTTAAAGGACTCAAAAAATATGCGTTATCAGGCCTATTCCTCGGTATATCGATCCATCTACGCTTGTATCCAATCGTGTTTAGTTTTCCCATGTATCTAAGCTTAGGAGTCACTAAAATACCGCGCCAGACCACTTTGAGACAAGGAATGCTAATCTTATGGCCAAATATAAGCCAATTGATTTTGGCTACGAGCTGTATAGTCACTCTATTGAGTCTAACTTACAGTATGTATGCGTTGTACGGCTACGATTTCCTTTACGAGACGTACATTTATCATGTACATAGAACTGATACTCGGCACAATTTCTCTGTACTCTTTTATTACTCTTATTTGAATACAAATCAAGGACTTGACATAGTAAAAAATGTTACTAATCTGTTTAAAGCCGTTATATTGTTTTTGTTGAGTGTCAAGTATGGGCCTGATCCTAAGACGTTGCCCCTCGCGATGTTCTGCCAGACGGTGGTAGTAGTAGCTTTTAATAGTGTGATGACGTCACAGTACTTTGTATGGTTCCTGTCTCTATTGCCGCTGGTCGCTCACTCGTTCAGGATGAAGTTATCAAAAGCCTTATTATTGGCCATCATCTGGGTCACCGCACAAGGCGCTTGGTTGTTCTACGCCTACCTATTAGAGTTCAAAGGCCGGGAAGTTTTCTTCCTAATATGGTTAAAAGGGGTTGTGTTCTTTTGTTCCAATATTTTTGTTTTAGTACAACTACTAAGGAGTTACACAATTGGCTATGGTTTCGGATTTGGTCAAGCTGTACACTTGAAAACACAGTGAATGTGATTTTGTTTTAGTAAATTATAGTTTGTTTTATTAGTTTGTAGATTATCAAAATATGCACATTGTAAAATAAAAAATGTAATTTGAATTTGTTGTTTTTATTTCTAACAAGAATTAACATCCGAACACTAAAGCAATAAATCACTAAATATTTAATCATGACCCACTCTAAAGACAAAATATATCAACTTGTACATTATTCTATGAAAAAATAGAGATAATTAAATCTCAAATTCTTCCACAAAGTTTTCACGAACCCCCATACATATAATTTGTCATTGCATAAAAATAATTATCTTTTGAATGATAACTTATAATGAAACATTGTGGTATTAACATGGAAAGACAATGATAAGAAGTTAATACTTACAGGCAGTCTTAGATGAGGTTTTGTGTTTCATTTTAAATGCCATTTGGTTTTGCTTCATAGAAAAAAAAAACTATTTTTTTTATATGGCAATAAAGGTAAAATGTCAGGTACATTTTACTATGGCTCATTATAAGTTTCACCCAAATATTAGTCTAGCTCTATTTCTTGGTGTCCATATTGACTTTAGTGAGGTCCTCGCCTTCTCCTTGAGACATATTCGATAACTTCTTACCGATGCGCTCGTGAACATCCAAATATTTGGCGACACAGCGATCTAAACAAACTGACTCGCCTTTGCCTGAAAAAAGGAAAAACATACATTTAAGACTTTTCTTTACGTTATTATATCACCCATAAGAGGCCCAATACTGAAAATGGGGTCCCCAGCAATTCATGTTTTACCCCCTCCCACCCCCTGATCTATTTTGGTGACCTGAAATAAACCCTTTAGTTATCAGTCTAGCTTATGGTTTACTTGTTACGGGCAGGCGTTTGGCCGCATCACTGGTGGAAGGAAGCGATGCGATAACGCAACCTACGATAGAGCACAACTGCCCATAAGCAACTTGGGCTATGAAGACACCTAGGTTTATATCCTTCGGGGAAAACAGACTCTGGCAAAGGATTCCACTCCTTAGATGTTCTGATTATAAATCTGGGGGCTAACTGCGTTGGGATATCTATTGAGAACCTATGACATTTTCCTGATTGATTGGAGGTATGATGTCTGAGTGCTGATTGCCCCACAGAAAGTTTTATTTGTGTCGTGGTTGCATTTACATGCAATATGACACATTACATCCTAACCCAGGACAACAATTTGTAGATCTTACAAAGAATTGTTTCATGCGGGAATAAAACCTACAATTATTTTGTTATCAAAATTTTGGTAGTATGTATAAGGAGTGTTAGGCAGTACTCTGTAACCTGCAAAATGATTGTCGGTCTGGGGTCCACTGTATAACTGTATTAGTGAAAAGATTAAAGATAAAAAAACAATCAGCAACTATATAAAGAAGGTCTCTTACAAAGTTCAGTTTCTTGGTATTTAACCGGAATACATTTGCGGTGACAGGCAGTCACCAGACGGTTGTACATGTCTGACATCATCTCGATCTCCAACTCCTGCACGAGCTGCAGCTTAGCGGGGTCCAGCATCGGTGACGCCATTTCGCTTTCTTCTTCTCTTTTTCAAAATAACTTCAATAATTTATCCTGAAATTTTAATTGCAACTTAATTAGTTGATTTCTTTAAAAAATAATGGTGGCGGAGTAAGTGATCCTTCCAACCTTTTTCATGAAGTTTGGAATTTATATAAATAATAAGAAAAGATTCTGATTCTGTATGATACAGCTGCATTATATTCTCTATTTTATTAGCAATTTTAAGTAATAGTGTTTTTTGTCAATTTTAGTAGCATGGGGGTTGAGTCAGTAAGAGTCAGACACTCATCCAGGCCAAGTAAAGTTATTAGAAGACTTTTGTCACTCAAAGGCCTCCTACACCACGAGAATTGATAGGTGGTACTCACACTCACAACCGCCTGTACAGGTCTGGATATTCTCCTTCGTTAGATTTGCGCATACGTTCCCTAGCTCTCATGTTCTCCAGGCGGCGGGCATTTATTGAGTTCTTCGCTACCACGAATAACGATAGACTAGTAACTGTTACTGCCAACCTGCAAGACATGCTCCGAATTACTATCAAATATAATCCTTCTTTTTTTCGACAGAAACAATTTTTATCTGCAAACAGCTGATCATTTTGACTGAGGTATAATTCGTTATAAAGATGATGGTTCAAAAAGGTCTTTAGATAACAGCAAATGCAAATATTTCGTCATGAATATTTTTTTCATGGGATTTTCATTTAGATGAGAGATAATAGGAAAGGAAAGAAAGAAAAGTTTAAATATACAGGGCTCACCACAATTAGACTGTAATATTTAAACACACAAAGGACATTTATTATTCAAGTAATTACCACGAAATAGTTATTTTCCCGAATTTTCCAAGCGGCATAATATATTCTCGTGAAAACTTCAGTAAATTATTTGAGGTTACAATTTTAGTGTCGCAATTTTTCACGTTACGTCATAGAAGCTGGCACCACTGTAGCTATCAATAATTAGGAAAATGGCAACACTGGTGTTAGGATGATTATACACGACACTGATCACCTTTTTGTCATTGATTTGTTTTAACGCTAATTTTATTATAAATAACTATAATGAAATTAATGAAGTCTTAGTCAGTGACATGAAAAAAGATTATTTGTTTCATAAACGGTGTAAATTGAAATGATTTCACCAAACGATTATTGATTTTTACATATCAATAAATTTCCGAACGTAGTTGACGCCGCACCTTCAATAAAAATCTAGTAAGAAACGTCACGTCCTATCGCATCATATAAGATTCACGTCAAATGTTCAAAACAAAACAAAACGTGGTTTTAACGAAATAAAAGTGATATTAAACAGTAAATATGCCGAAACCAACTAAATTACATTCCAAAGGCAAGTCCAACTCCCTCCAAAAACCGTGCAAAGTTGAAAAAGACACATCGGACGGAGTTGACCCAGAGGAATCTGTGCGACAATTTCAGCTTGAATTGTGCTGGTGTATTCAACAGTTAGAACGATCTTTAAATGAAAAGAAAGGCAACGAGAAGCAAAGTAAGTAACTACATTTACTGTGGATGCACTATCTTCTATAAAGACTTTATCATCACATAGTGATTAACTTGATTTCACCATTGTTGCTAAGTAGCACACCACAATAACGTCACAGACCTAAAACTTTGCAAACCGCACACAAAATTTCTGTTTCATGATAGTAACATAATGTCAAGATTAAAACATGATTTAATTAAATACACATGAAAATACATTATGCAATATTACTCTTATTTAATTTTTTGTGTATTTAACCTCTAAAATATTGTTTACGATTGTTGCTATTTATGGTTTCAGTGCAAGAAGCATGGAAAGTCCTAACAGTACTAAAAAACAACAACCAACCCACAATACGCAAGAGACAACTAATGCGAACACATTTTGGAGACTATAGAGCTAAAATGGCAGCCGAAGAGAAGAAATTAGCAAAAAGTAAGGTTAAAGTAGTGTCCTAGATAATGATTTGATGCAAGAAGAACATAAATGTCTGTTGAAATTAAATATGTAATATAAAAATAGCTTTCTGCTAAAGAAAATTAATAAAGTGTTTAAAGACCAGCTTGATAACATGCCCCAAGATCTAAATACCGGGCTTTTGATATTATAATAAATGGTTGGAAGGTTTTTTACTAATGAGACGTGGAATTCTAACTTATTGTATGATAATTTATTGGAAAATCCTGGAGAAGGAAGTCTTTCATTTGTGGAGATTAATCTCATCACTTTATGTTCTGACATGAAAGCCTTTACTCTTAACCTCTTGTAAATTGAGGTTATTTGTTTCCAGTGGCCAGTAAAATCAAGATATCAGATGTTCCTGACAAACCAAAAGCTACATTTTTGAGAAAATCTGCATTCTTGACAACAGGCAATGAGTCATTTAGATTCAACTTCAATTTAGCTCCTGAACAAATAGATAATAACAAAACTGCTGCTGATAATGGCAACACTAGTGACTGTAAAACAGATAGCAATACTAAAGCTGAACCTGTTGTTGCCACCGCAGAAAAAGTGAGTGAAGATAGTGCAAAGAAATTTAAATTTTCTTTTACAAATTCAGAATTTAAGTTTAATTTTAATGTAGATAATTCTTAGGTTGTACTTAAAATATTTTATATGAATAATTCTGTACAAAACATTATTGGATTATAAGTGCTTGATTATTATTTGTTGGTTTTATTGTACTGACATTTCCATTTCAGAATTGTACCTATTCTATAATGTGAGATAATGTGCCAGCTGCTTCGGCGCGTTGTCACCCGTTGTTTGGCGTCCTATTGTACGTCGCGTGATGGTTTATAGCTAGTAGTTCTGATATTAGCGCGTACAAAATAAACTTACTTGTTGACCTTATAAAATGAGTATTAATATAATAATACTCAGGCAAATACTAAGTTCATATAACCAAATGTGGGATAGCCATGCTTCGGTACGAATGGGTTGGCAAATCTACGAGACCCTAATCGGTCGTTACGGGTGTTCATCGACGGCGACATCGACGTTAGCTTACCATCAGATTATCCGTCCTACCTATCACATAAAAAGAAACAATCTGGAACCAACGCCATGTAAAAATGACAGTCATAACTCATAAGCAAAATAAAACAATAATAGTAGAAAAGTAACAATTTTAAAATTTTAATCACTTATCGCACAGCTTTTGGTAATATCCCTTCACGACACGCAAACCGTTGTCGTCTCGTATCCGTCGCGCACAGCGTAAATCATTGTAGAAGTTTCTTGAATTTACCACTGAGAAGCCTACTGGGAATTCAAATTTGGCGTGATGATACCCCCATGTCGCAATCCCCAATAATTGATTGGATCTCGTGTTTATAATGGCGCCACCTTCGACGCCATGATAATTTTTACATCTGCTGTCTCCATTCAAAAACTGCTTGTAGGTACACGAGTGGTAGCAAGGGAGGCGGTAAACTTTTAATTTAAGGTTCTCTGCCAAGGTTCTGTGACAAAGATCTAAACTAACGATGACATTCAACTCAGTAAGGTGATACTGCCTTTCTGGCGCTCTTATTTTGTCAATACCCTGTAAAATACAATGATTCATTTAATTCTTAATAGGTTATTTTATTAAATGTGATTAGTTTCATTCTGGCTGACTTCTTTTCGGTTTTGATTAGAAACAACCTCTAGGTAGGAGAGTGTGTGAATGTGTATGTGTAGATGATGTAAGTTGTGTTAAGAACAATTGATTTCTCTTTCTTAAAACAACTACGGTAACTGCACGGTTCACGGTCACTGTGTGATCCACAAATTGTTGTTTCGGGTCTGGGTGGCTTGTGTATGTTAATTTGTATGTTTCAAAAACCCACGACGCAGGAGAAGTCACTAGTGGTGGCGATGTTTTTTTTTTTAAAAAAACAACATCGTCCCTCCTCCTATCGAATGCAAAATCGCCCCAAACAAAAAATAATTTACATCATCCTAACCTTAAGCATAGCATACCCAACGACTTTGTAATCATTCTTGCCATACGACGTCTCAACCTTGGAGAACCATCCGAAGGCTCCATCAGTTCTGTTTACTGCATTGAAGGGTTTGATTGTCCGCCACGAGTTTCTGGAGTTCTTTGAGTGAACCACAACAAAACCTATGTCGTCGAAGGCTTGTGGTGTTGGTACCGAAGGCACGACGAACGCCAAAGCATTGTAGAATTTTGTGTTGTGCAGTATTCTTGTGTAGTTTACTTTTAAACTGAAATATTTTTTTGGAGATTTTTAAAAGCGATACATTAGAGAGAGAGAAGGAGAGTTATAAGATTTTAAATTTAATTAATATCTAACAGTTACTCTTACTGTTACATAATAATTAAGAATTATGATTAAGTATGACGTTTTCTGGTTGGTTATGCTCAACATTAGCTAACTAGCCTAATTTTCGTTGCCGACTTTTTTTTGTCAGGGTAAAATCATCCAATGATTTTTCCCGCTCAGGGTAAGGTGAGGGAGAGTGTCAGACTCTTACTGACTAAAACCCCCCCGTTCCTTCTCTTGCTCTGTGCCGAGGTCGCGGTGCCTCATTGCTTTCAGGTACCCCGCAACCCCGGTTGAACATCAGCCCTGTTGGGCCTCATCTTTGGTGGTCTATTGGCTGTCTATAAAGGCGTGAATTTAGATCGAACTTTTGTCTTTTATCAATAATCACTATCAGTTGCTCAGCTGTCTTTTACCAATTAATTAAATCAATACATACGTGTAAATACATCGGGAAGCAGTAATAAAGATGGCGTCGGCGATACAAACCGCGGTACATATATGCGGTACGTACGACGTCCGCGAGTGTATAACGCGCGCTATCCACGGGTACTGGGACTCGGTTACTTCTTTTGCATTCACATAATAATTATTCAATGATCCGTAATCTAAAACAGTCACTTTGGCTAAGTTTAAACTTTAAATTTTATTATGGTGTATAGGTTCAGGCACAGAAATCTTTATAAATGCAATATTAAGTATTAAGATTTCTATGGGTTTAGGTAATTATCTTAATAAACATTCTTGGCATGTCTTTTTTTCTAAAATTTAAAAAATACCAAAACTGCAACTTCTTTATCAACATGGCACCCAAATATTATGACATTTTTATGATCTAAACCATCATAAAGGGTTATAATAGTCATCATCATCATCATCAGCCGGAAGACGTCCACTACTGAACAAAGGCCTTCCCCATTTCCACGTCGAACGACAACTCGCCACCTGCATCCATTGGCTCCTCGCGACTCTGACGAGGTCTTAAGTCTAGCGGGAGGCCTACTCATGTTACGTTTTCCGGTCCTTGGTCGCTACTCGACCAGGCCTGCATATTTTACGAGATATGTTGGTAACTTCGGTTCTTTAGTGAATTTCCACATTTCTCCTTATAAAGGTTGTATAGATAAAAATATAACTCACGTTGATAATCCTGTATAGTTTTATCGTTACTTCCATCGCACATTAAAACATAGTGAAGACTAAATAAAACAAAAGCTTGGAACATACACATTTCGGTCAAATTGATAACTTAGTCATCTTTCCCGGAAGCGTCCATGAAGTTTAGGGAATCCAATTTATTAATTTCACTCACAGACTCACGCGTACACAACTCTAAACCAGCTTCAAGTATTACAACAAAATAAAATAACATTTTTATATGTTTTTTATATAGTTTTTATTGCGTACAATGTTTATACAGTATTTTAAACCACATCGGTTCGCCTCACTTATCAAAAGCTTTACAAAACAATTTTTATAGAACTTAAAATGTCAAATTCACACATAAATATTTATTATGAACATATTTTATAATACATTTTAGATATCGAAATGAATTTTCTTCCATCATACTCGATTCGTAACTTGTAGAGAAAGAGTTCAATATTTTTATAACTAAAATAGTTTTATATTACAAAAGGTATCCATATTTAGGAATGTTAGAAAAAAGAAACACCTTTTATTTAAATATGTGAACTGTAAAGTACAACTCATAAATTTAACAAGATTATCTAGTTACACTATTAACTTTATGTATTTCAATGAATCAATATATTTTTTTTAAATTAAAACTAACGTAATATAGACTTAACTAAAGTCAGTTTCTATTTTAGGGACTGTTATTGGAAAATGATCTTTATACACATGTTTTTAGTGTATATTTGACTCGAAATAGGTGGGTGATCTGCTTGTCCCTTGCAATAAAAACTGAGAAATATGTATATAATATTACATTGCCTATGACTGAACAAAATATGGTGACTCAGAACTATATCTCCTGAAGAAAAATATAATAGGTAGAACTCATTGATTTACTGGCGTACGCCATGTTTATGACGTCCTGCGCTGTGATTGGTCGGCTTCAAATTAACAAACCAATTAGAGGGTGTTTTTATCACGTAATCGTAAAGAAAACTCACTAATTGTAGTATTAAGCCTACTTCCATTCGGCTAAGCAAAGATCTCAAATATTGATATAAAACGGTAGTTTACAACTAATAAAATTTTTTACTTCTTCCGGAAATGTCCAAAACGACAATTTAGTATGAAATAGCACGTGTGACGTCATATTCTTTTTACGTCAAATGACACACTTATTTCTTTTGAATCATTTATAATAATACGACTACTAAGTCTATCGTAAAATTTATGAATGAAAGTCATTATTTTAAGTATCTTCAAGGTTTATACGTTGATATAATATTTTTTTACTGAGAAAACTACCCAATTACCATAATTAATTTTTAACTGGCAACACTGCGTTTTATTTCTACCAATAACCGAGTCACCACTGTAATTCTAGTCATTAAAGCGCATACTAAGCTAAGTTGTATCTAAACGAATTCATACTTGTCCGGGTGGAAGCTGATCTCCTGGGAATAGTCCACCGGTGTGTTGTCTTCAGCGTATGTGACCTTCGTTGCTTTAAGAAGGGCTAGAGAAGTGTCAGATGTCCAGGTCACCGTGAGGGGGAAGAAGTCGTTGGGTACTGCTGGAGTCACCCTGGAGAGGAATAATACATATTTTGACAGCTGACACTTGTTTACTACCGCAATGACGTCATTAGCACAGTGGCGACATTTCATAATGTTCAAAGACAGATAAAAAACCTAAAACTTTAAACAACAATTTAAAAAAATTAAGTACCTAATGAAGTGAAAACATTTCCCGATTGCTTTTCCTCTATACAATCATTGTAATACACTTTTTAATTTTTCTCACCTAGACCTAATTACCCTATATAAGAAATATTGTATTTTCTTATGGAATTAATAGCCGCTGATTGTGATTTCTCGTTAAAAACAAACCGGGTACCTACTTTTGGACCATCAAAATAGGATTCTAGAGACATTCTGTCTGTCTGTCAATCAATTCGTCAGTGAAGCTAGGAGCTCGCTCCAAAGTGTAGATTCGAATGGAGGAGAACGAGCAAGAAATTTCATCAGTATTATTTTCCAAAATAAAAACAAAACAATTCCTTACGTGAACTCAAGACTGCCTGATTTCTGATGTTTGTTGATGATGGGTATGCTCCAAATGAGGGTGCGTCCCTTCTGCGTGTAGCTACCCTCCCATTGGTGGACTATCACCGATGTGTTGCCAGAGCTGTGGACGAAAATACATTAATCAATAAAAGATACTTTAAAACATCGAGAATCATATACTATAATAGTATACCTAATTAAATGAATATCGTAGCTACACAGGGTGACATTTTGAACGAACCGATTTTGGTGTTCAATTACAATATTTTTTTCCGTGGGATCAATATCCAAATCTAATACCAATCGCAATAGCTGATTGACCATTTTACATAGAGAAGTAATTTTTTTTTTGAGATTTCCATATAGGTCTTATTGAAAAAAAAAAAATGTTTTATTTGAGCACCAGACTTGGCTCCATCATTATGTCGTCGTTCAAAATTCTATCCTGTATACGTATGTTTTTTATTCGATTTAAGTACAGACTAGCGATCAGCCCTACCCTACCCTACCTACGGGCGCAATGCTGATACTAAATTCACCACTATTTAATTCTTTACTCTTAAATCACTCTATCCATAAAAAACTGCATCAAAATCCGTTGCGTAAATTTAAAATTTAAGCATACATAATGATATAAAGACAGAGAAAGCGACTTTGTTTAATACTATGAAGTAATAATAATAATTTAATCCATTAATTGATTGATAAATTTTTTTAAACATACAAATAATAAGAATAGTGCTATATATACGTACGGTAATGGGATGTGTATGTGTACATCGCTGAGCGTGAGATGGTCGTGTTCCAGTTCGTACTCAATGTTCACGTCGCACCCACCGCCAGCGCCCTCTGACGGCCAGCAGTTCACTGCGAACCACACGAGTATATATAAGACCATAGTCATATTATCCTTGAATGAAAAAGAAATATTTTTTACGTAAGATACCCATTCTTAGCATTAAGTGTGGAAGAGCCAAGCTTCGGCACACATGGGTCGGCTCGATCGGAGTGATAACACGGCCTCGCAGAAAACCGGCGTAAAACAACCACAGCGTTGTGTATCGCCGTGTGAGTAAGGTTACCGGAGGCCCAATCCTTCCCCTCCCCCTCCATCAAGCCCTCAATCTCCAAATCCCTAATCCCCAAAAGGTCGGCAACGCACTCGTACTTCTTCTGGTGTCCATGGGCGGCGCCGATTGCTTACCATCAGGTAATCCGTCTGCTCGTTTGCCGAGCTATACATAAAAAAAAAACATGATCAAACTTTCTCCGTGTGAGAAGAAGTCTTTGCTCAGCAGGGGGCACTTATAGGCTGATAATGACTTACCGGAAAGCGGAGCTAGCTTATCGTCGTTAGAATTGAGTCTCCATTTGAGTACCCCAACGTCGCTATGCAGGGGGAAGGCGCGCTGTGACTGCTTCAGTCCAATCACACCGTTCGCACGGAATGCCTCTTTATCCACGTTGGGGTGAGTCTACCGAAAGAACATTATAATTTATGAACAGCATGAAATAGCAGAAAGTATCCTGACTTCGGCCAGGAGCAGAAAGAACGAGGTGGTTTTTAGTCAGTAAGAGTCTGATAGTTCCTTTCACTCGACCTTAGGCGAGAGAATTTAAAATTAAAAAGGATTTTAAATACAGGTCTTGTGCCGTGCAAAGAAGGTATTAGCTTGAATCTTGCAGTGAATTTTTTGGACGTCGGAACAAAAAGTAAACGCTATGGCAACCCTACTCTACCGTGTCCAACCTCAATACCTGTGCAAATATTTACATACAAAAACAATATGGATCCTGATGAAAAGAGTTTTCAGATATCCAATGTGTCATAACTTTTAATTTTATTTTATAAAAAAAATGGTATTGAAATATTCATAGAAGTCGAGGGAAAGTTAAACAGTCAAAATTATGAATGGTATATTTAAAGCTACAGTTTTTTCTCGTTTTTGATTTTCGCAAAATTCGATATTGGACAAGGAACAAAAGTGTCAACTAGTTATTTGTTAAGCTTTTAGTAGGTAAAAATATACTATTTATCTACCTGTAGTTGCAGCGGCCTTGGATCTTGATTATCGACGTGTACGTGGATACGCGAGTACTGCTCGTTGCTGATACGCAGTGTAAGAAGACCTGAAAAAGGAAAAACAATTATTATTATTAGCACTTTATCTCATTCTAGCAGTTCCATATAATCCAAGTTGTGAACACAAACATTATTTCTTCTTTAGGGAATACTGGCTTCCAGCAGCGGCTTCAACCGCGTGGTATGTTGATAAAAAGTAACCTTTGTCATATTCCGGAGTGTATCCTTTGCCTGTACCAAATTTCATTCAGATCCGTCCAGCCGTTTTGGCGTGATTGAGTAGTAACAAGCATCCAAACATTCATAAATCGTAACTTTCGTATTTTAAATTTAAGATAATGAAGTTTCCTAATGTCGGGAAAAGGAGAATCCTCCGACCAGACGCGGTGATTATGCTTGGCGGGCTACTGCGCAATAGTTGTACGCTGGGATTTACTATTGATGTTTATTCGCACCCAAATTTCCCTTGCACTATTAGAATTTGTGTTTATATCGACCATTTTCTATGTGCCACCACGCTCCAAAGCACAATAATAAAATCGAATTAACCTTATTATTACTATAAACAAAAAACTAAACGAGGTATCATTGTTGATGAAATGTACCAAATTGTAGATTTATTTTTTGGTATGGCAACTCTGTCCAATAATACTTACCGCTGAGTTCAAAGTTCTGTACGTCACCGTCTCTGCCTGCCACTAGAGTAAGGCGCTCTTCGAACCGTAAGTGTACACTGGAACAATGGAGAACAAATTGGTTACTAAAACATTCCCGTTTTATTACAACTTATTCACTAGAACTCTTTCTAAACACTGGCTTGATTTGGTTCGTTTGTATTTTATATTGCGGTAGTGTAACATTTTCACTACTTTTTAAACAGATAAGCTAAGCTATCCATATTTGAAAACATTTAATTGGTTTCTAGTTTTTATCAATTTGAATAAATATTAGTGTTACACTGTTCTCACATAATTGAACTAACTGTTTGTAAAAGGAATCTGTATGTGAAACTGATTTAAAAAGAGTAACCATGGAGTTTCTTGCTTGTTCTTCTCCATCGGAATCTACACTTTGGAACGAGCAAATAGCTTCACTAAAAGGACAGACCGACAGACTGACTTGAAAATTTTGTTTGACTTTCAAAAGTGCCTGTAAGGATCTAATTGGAATAAAATGATTTTTGACTTTTGATTTCGACTTCATTAATCTAAGTGATTGCTGTAAAACTGTTTGTTTTTCTAATAAAACGAAATAGTAGATCTCGCTTAGAGTTTTTAAGTCTTTATTAAATAATCGTTTAAAATGCTGACACAGCTTTGCTGCAAATCAGGGTATGATGTACTGGACATATAAATTGAATATCAGAAATTAACAATATGCATCTAAAACCACGATGATTCTGCAAAACCTAGTAGAATTGAAGAGCGGAGAAACGAATTTACTTATTTGTGTTTAGGTGAATACTGTACGCTTTTTGTTAAAAGTTCATTTAAGACTTACTCCTTATGGTCGGGCGGGGGTGGCTTAGCTGCGTCAGGTTTGGCGGGCGCGGCGACGGCGGAGACAGCGTCGCCCTCACTGCGCAGGCGCGACACGAACGACTCCGTGTCCGTACCGCGGGCCCCCAGCTTCATGGCCGAGCGACCCGCCGGCCGGGCTCTGCAAATATAATAGCATCATTAGTTTATACCTTCCACACTTAAGTATTAAATGTTGGTAAAGTTATTTTTATGGAAAAATGTGACTGCTGCTTATAAACAATTCCTTTTCTTGTCCTGCTTCTGGCCGAGGCCGGAATACATTATTGCGCATAATATATTCTTTTTTCATATGTGATAGGTCGGCAAACGACCAAACGGATTACCTGATGGTAAGCAATCAGCGCACACCCGCAACGACGGAGGAGTTACGAGTGCGTTGCGGACCTTTTTCGGGATTAGGGATTTGGATTTTGTGAATGAGGAGGGATTGGGGTAGGGTAGGATTGGAGGAGGGTAGGATTGGGCCTCCGGTAACCTCACTTACACTGCGAAACACAACGGTGTGGTTGTTTCACGACGGTTTTCTGTGACACCCGTGGTATCACTCCGGTGGAGCTGACCCATTCGTGACGAAGCATGCCTCTCCCACACTTAACCCCAGCAGAACAATTTTTAAGTTATGATTAAAAACCTAAGACATGGCAACTAAGGCAAGCCAGCTTTCATTTAGTGGTTAAAGCTTTTTGAAATGAAGTCTCTCATTATAAGACTATTATGCTATCATCTGACAAAGATTGTGAATCTGGAATTAAGTTGATGCAACGAGGTCAACGACCTCAGTAGAGTCGAGTAAACCTTGTACAATATACATGAACCAAAACGTCAAATTATCATCAATCATTTTAGAATAAAAAAAGAATCGACTAAATTGGCAACACTGATGTTCCATAGACAATATCAACTTACGTTTCTCGCGCAGGCGTAGTGGGAATTTTCTCAGCGATAGGTTCAGTGGACGCCGACGATGACATATTGGAGCTGCCGAAACTGCTTCCTGTGACAGAAATAGAAATATTATCAACTCCCTACTCTCACGCGGTTTCACCCGCTGCATGGCTCCTACAAATCGTAGCGTGATGTTTTATAGTCTTCCTCAATAAATAGTCTATTCAACACAAAAATATTTTTTCAATTCAAACCAGTAGTTCCTGATGATATTAGCACGATCAAACAAACAAACTGTTTTGCTTTATAATATTAATAATAAGTATAGATATTGATGATTCGCCCATATTTTAAATAGAACAATAACTTATCTATTTACCAATTATAGGTATTTGTTGTTAGTTGACAATGTAACTGGAGACTATTTATTAGATCAAATGCATGTGTCAACAGTCAACACTGATAACAGTCGCATTTAATAACCGATCTAAAGCCAAAATCTATTAAAATTGATTTAAGATGTTCTTTATATGGATTCCCTGCCAAGGACTTGTAAATTTCAGAAGCTGGTCGATCATATGCCCACTTTATTGACAACGATATAGTTAGATTGAAGATTAAAATAAAAATAGGTATAACATACCAAAGGACATCTGGCTGCGTGTGGGCACGCCCCTTTTGGCGGCCTCCAGCCTCTCTCGCTGCAACTCCTTGGCGCGCTCACGCATGCGGTTAGCGGCCTCGCGTTCTTGTGTCTATAAGGACACAGAATTACTGATTAGAATCATATTATATTTTTTAAATTAAAATTAGAGGTTAATTTTCCTCATATCATAGAAATAAACATTTACTTATATTGGTTTCTTATATCGTACCACGTAACGGTATTAAGTGTTTATGAATTTGTAGGTTTGAAACAACAACAACAGTCACAATACAAGAAAAAAGCTTTTTTTTATGTTATCGGAAGGCAAACGAGCAGACGGATTATCTGATGGTAGGCAACAATGGAGGAGTTACGAGTGCGTGGACGACCTTTTGGAGACTTTGAGATTGGGGAGGGCTTGGTGGATGGAAAGGATTGGGCCTACGGTAACCTCGCTCACACGAATAAACACAACGCTGTGGTTGTTTCACGCCGGTTTTCTGTGAGGCCGTGGTATCATTTCGGTCGAGTGAACCCATTCGTTCCGAAGCACGGCTCTTTCAAACTTAATCGTATTACAACAATTTAAAAAAACTTAATAATAAAGGAAGCATGATTTACTTACCTGACGCACAGCTTGGTAAATCTTCTCTTCGTGGGAGTCCATCTCCACAAATGACCGTACCTGATAGCAGAAAAAATAATAATAAAGATAGTATTCATTGAAAATACCGACTTGCTAATGTAAAATCACTGAGCAAAGCTCTACTAGTTTCGATGTCGATTTTACAATTTTTACACTTTAACAAGATTTTTTAAATTGTCTACAAACCTGCTCTCTGGACTGCCATGTAATAATTTAATACCAAAATTAGCCAAATGGGTAAAGGCATTGTTGGGTTAGAACTTTACAACAAAAAGTGGTAATGATTTTTATATATAAAGATATGGCGTAAACATTAACATTCAACAAACCTGTGCCAAGTTGACACTCTCTCTGTAGCCTAGAGCCACAATCTCGTCGAATGCAAACAGCAAGTTGAACGCCTGGTTCAGTACTTCAGCCTCTGTCAGCTGGGTGCAGTACTCTGGGACCTGTGTTTAATGGGAACATGCTTAGAAATACTAAGAGTGTGGACTAAGAGGATACTTCTTATTAATCTAATTCAGTTATTTGTCATTAATAGTCGGTTAGGTTGACTGTTTAAACTATTTATAAGTTTTGCAAGTAATACTAAGTATAATTGTGTAAATAAACAATCTGTTGTCACATTTGTGGCTTATTAACATTATAGAGACACACAAAGACATATGTAAAAACAATCTAGTTTTAATGCAACATAAAGTTTGGTATCCATTGTATGATTATTATAAAGTTTGAACCACTAAATAATTAACATGTCAATTTCAATAATAGTTAACATTTCAGGCACATTTTGAGATGTAATATGAGTAGGATTTAATCCTTATTAGAATTACTCATATCTCTTCAGATAAGAATTTACCTTAGGTGATAGAAATTCATAAATATTATTTTTTTGAACTTACCACTCTGCTGAACAAGCGCAATGTCTCCAAATCCTCAAGGATGTTACTGGCTTTAGTTGTGATGAGTAGCATATACAGCTTGTCCAGCGGTTGATACACATATCTAGAATATTATAAACTGAACTTTAAGAATGTTATTTTTTGTGATATATAGGAGATAATTTAGCCCTATATTATGAAGTAAACATCTTTTAGCTTAATTATATGACAATGATTAGTATAGTACCTATATGAACTAATATGAAGTTCATTTGTTATAATAAAAAATAATTATAATCCTTAAAAAAGGAACAAGAAAATATTGAAAACAATATTTTTTTATGTAATTAGTAATGTAGAATAAAACTTTTTACGTGAAAATGTTTATATTTTGTATGTTGCAATTAAACTGAGGGTGGTATCACAGAGTCATATAAAACTTTAGTAAAAATTTAACATGAGGAGGATGTTTTGGTTCACCTGACAGACTCAGTTTCCACAAAGGTGTGTTGTCTACCTCCAGTCATGAGCTTGGGGAAGGCAGCCAGCAATCCTTCGATACGTGCCTTCGTCATCTCTACGAATTGACGGGAAACCAATGCTGAAAGAATACGTTAATATTTATAAAGATTTCTTACAAGATTTGCTTGTTCATTGCATATACAGCTTCTTAAATAAACATTTTATTACCTTTTCCTGACTTCGTACATACTGTAGCCGCTATAAGCACCTGAAATTATATAAAAGAACCTCTGAAAACTATAAACATTAGCCGGATGAACTTCGAATACTTGTACAGAAAAAATGCACTGCTTAAGTAATATTTTATTCAATTAAAACATTAATAGATATATATTTTTTATCACAAGCACTGAAACAAGAATTACCATTTTGATTTAGTGTATTTATTCTCAATTTTCATAAAATAATTACAATCTGCGAATCTGACAGCCAACACACCGAGATGACGTGTAGAACTTTTTTTTAATTAATGTTGCCAGCTATTCGGAAACTATTTCCTGTTTTCGAACGAAACGAAAGATGGAGTTAAAGTCATATTGACCAATAAAGTTATTATCCAAATGTTGACGTAAATAGAAAAAACATTCTTATTAGTCTATGTTTAGAATAAATGTCAAATTTGTCAAATGTAAGCAAAGCACATTGGGGTTATTGTTCGTTTTTTAGCTAATTTTAACGTTTTACTCGTATCTTTTCACGTAATTAAGATTATTAGTTAAAGTGTTTTATTACGCCGTTTGGACAATGGAGATTTTTATTTAATTCGGTGTCTAAATTCTATGGAATACGTTTGCCTACCACAGAAGCCAAATAACAGTAGTAAGTGGCAAGATTTTTAATTATTTTGTATTGGTATTTAGATGTAGTGGTTCAGGTCACATGCTCTCGACTATGAATTCGTTGTAAGTGAGTGTTACCGTCATTCTTTTCGCTAATGGTCGAACGTTTGATTTGCATACAATGATATTTTCTTTATGCCTGATTTATAGATAATCTTTTCATCCAATAATGTTCACAGTTGTTAATACGTTATTTTACTGTCAGTACAGATGGCTGGACACTGTAATGAATTGTGCAGTTTTAGTATTTATTCACACGAAAGTTGTGTAGTGTAGTTTATCTTAATGTTATGGAGGAAACTTCTCTTATTGATAGTGATAATGAGGTATTTATAATGTTTACTACACTCCTATCTCTACTAGATTATTATTGTCGCTATTAAATTGTTTCGTATACAATTTTACAGATTCTTTAATTTTTAAATTATTTCATATGATGTTTAAAAATTGGCTGGATAGACAAAAACAACATAGTGAAGTGTTTAAATAAGGTTGGTGTCTATAGAAAATAAAAAAGAATCAAACAGCTGATGTTGACTGGTAAAAGTTTAATACTGAAGGACTTTATTGACAGTCCACAGTTGAGAAGTATGTGTAGAGATGAAGAGATGTGACGCGTGCCGTGTCCGTTCAGAACGGAGGACGGAGGAGAGAGCGGACCACACGGGAGACAGAGACCCGCTCATAGACACAACTGTCCCTCAGGAGGAGTCTTACGATAGCCAAAATTTAGTAAGATCAACATCATTTACGTAGTTAGCACTGTTATAATTTCCGTGCACCATTCGTATTTTTCGTGCACCCATTTTGTTGGTACAATGCAATATTTTATGTGGTTTGTTTTTTGTTTACTGTTTCTTAATCAGCATCATGTTATTCGTAATGTTGTGTCTGTAGTTTGCCAATTGATTTATTTATAAGTGTAATAATAAATATGCAGTATCTTTGGTTTAATAGTAAACAAGCAGTATATTGACATATTTCTTCTGATAAGAAAGTGAGAGGAAATAGTATAAATACCTAATACATATAATATATGCATCCATCTTTTAAAAAATGTGGTTAATCATCAAAACTTTTTGGTTTGGATTTACTTGCCAGATTGAAAATTGGCAGAATGTGTGACTTTAAATTTTGAAGAGAATTTTTTAATATAATCAGTAATATAAATGAATTCTAAAACTTATTCAGTAATATTCTAAAACTACCTACCTTTCGTAAAATAATGAAAATTATTTTGTTATTGAAACTCTTCAATCATTAATTTACATTTTACAGTTTATTTTTACAGTTAGGAAACATTACCTTATTGCTACTACCATAAAATGCAATTTTAAATGTATTTAGTTATTTGGATGCCATTCAAATAACGTGTTGATGTAACCACTATTTTTTTTTTCCACACATTATTTACCTCTTTGCGAATACTTGATTTCGCTGATTTTTTTTCAGGCGACTATTTAAAAATGATATTCCTTAAATTCATGTTATATATTTATCAAAAATGACTATATTTATGGACTTATCTAGAGATTATTTTAAACACGGGATTAACGAAATTAAGTACAGGTATTAAAGTATAAATCACGTAATACTATTAAGTACGCCATGTTCAGTGAAATTAAGCGATTTATTTGGAATGAGGAAGTACCTATATCTTATCTTAAAGTGCTATTAAATAATGCCACTTAAGAAATAGGTCAACTACGAAACCAATTTCGAAAATAACTTTACGATATATAAGAATGTAGTCGTACACATTCTTATCCTTGCCCAACCCCAAATCGCCATAATTATACAACAATCTCGAATTTCCAGTTTGTCTGATACTTAAGGGTGGTTACCCACTTTTAACCCTAGCATTGCTAGTATTCTTAAGTGTCTCCGAGTGCTTACTTACCACCAGGTGTTCCAACCGCCCACTGGCCGCGCTATACCACAAAAAGAAAACTATTCTTAAAGCTATTTTTACATAGCATTTTCTATCTTCTAATTTTATCTTGTATTTATTTAAATTTTAACTAAAACTGTATGTTAGACGTCGAATACGTAGGTGTATGACAAAAGACTTGACAGCTAATTATTTGACCTTTTCTACATCTAAGCTCACTATCGTAGAAAGTAAACAAAGAAAAATCACTTGGTCATTAACAGCTACTGATAGCGAGCCACACCAAGATTACAACTTTATTGCGGATTTAAAAAGTAACTGATAAAATTGACGCGACCATTTTATTTGTGGCCCCACTAAATTATAAAACAGTCAATGCACCTTAAACATCAGAGATCAAAATATACTGGCGAGGGATTCCCGCCTTTTTAGAGCAGTGTTCTTTTAGAGACAACTTGCAAAGGCAGTCTCTGTTAAGCCTTGAAAGGATGCGGTAGTGTAATGTATGTGTTTGTGTAGATATCGTGCGTCATTAAGTGAGACCTAAAATGAGGTTTTAGTGATAAAAGTTTGAACCACATTAATGAAAGAATGAAGAAAAAAATCAACATAACCATGACGCCTAAAAAGGTAAAAACTCATTTCGCAGATTAAAAATGCACGTTCGTAATATTCGCGGTAATTAGAATTGTTTAGAAATGTAATAATGGAAACATTGCGTTAATTGAAACAAAGAAAATCGCACGTAATTTTTCTTGAACGTAAAAACTGTAAAATAAAACAGTGAAGTTTCCATAATTTAGTCGTTTGTGGTCATGCGAAAACAAATAGTAAGCCCATAAATATTTTTATGATTATTTTCGTCCGCATTTTTGGTAAAGCTGGTTGTACACAATAGCAAAAAAAAAAAAAACATTTCAACCTTTTTGTTTATAAGTCGTGTCGGATGTTCGTTTGTTCTTCATAGTGCCTAATTAGTCTAGTAATTGAGGGCACCGCTGTGACTTTGAGAGACATGTTGATTCTCTAGTGAAGATTACATTTTGATTAGACTACGAAAACATATGACATGTTTTCGTAGTTGTCCTTGAAATTGGCATTCTGGGCCTTAAGTCCGCTATTACAATATTTTCATTGATTTCAAAATTATTGATTTTACAAATTTGGATATTTACTATCCCTTTAACAGGGTGGCCTCATTATGACTTTCCAAAGACCAACCAGAGACACTTAATTGTTAGTTTTCTTTTAGAATGGTAGTCTCCTATTTAATTACAAATGATTATTTGACATAATGAAGACAGTCCTTTTAATAAGTAATTTACGATTTGAATATAATTTTGTAGTTGATCACTCATTATTAATCAACAGATTACGAACTTTTACTAAAATGACAATGGATTAGTGTTGGAATGACAATGTTTTGAAAATAGTCGATTTGGGCCCCTTGATTTGTGTCTTATGCGTCCCTTTTTACGTCATAGATAGCATACACTGGCAGAACATAAATGGCACATGTTATCCTTTGGTGGGATAAGAGCTCTGTAACGTGACGTCATGAAGGACACCTTGATAATGTCACTTTCGGTTTTTAAACTGATGAGTCCCAGTTACCGGTATTATCCGCACTTCATTTCAATTAGTGTCGCGTCCTATCTCGCTATGAGTTATCGATAACGCCTTTAACTAATCGATATACCCACGTTTTGTTATAATCATGTCAAGTCAACTGATAGCCAATTCGCTTTTTTGCAAATGAGATCTGTAACTTTTTGGTAAACAATAGAGGATATTTTCTGTTTCTTTTGAAGGAATCTGTTACGATCTCCTTTTTGCTTTTTCTCAGTTAACATGTGGTCCGATCTAGTATTTGATGAGGATCTCTTTGTACATCAACTACTTTATCTAGTTATTGACCTCTAGGTGGCAAAGATAAATAAAATGGTGACTCTTCTCTATCTAAGACTACTTACACATTGACCGAGATCGATGATTAGTGCAGTCTTATAAACCTGCACCTTTGAAACGGTGACCTCCACTCCGCCTGCCAGACACAGAGTCTACGTAGTTGAAGTTTCCAATTGAAAACAGGGAATGTCCTTTTCAAAAGTTTATAAATATACCGAAGGCCTTTTTGTCACTGTTTACCTAGCCCTTAAGATAAATACCCAACCTGAACTCATCATAATATATGACTTTTGCCGTCCTTGTGGGATAAGCGGGAGTGTCAGACTCTTACTGATTAAAAACCACCCCGGAGCCGTGGTACATTAAAGCGCTTGCAACCCCGAGCCCTGACGTGTATGCGAGTTATGGGCAGTTTCTTCAAAAAGTTGATTTGGCTTACTAGAGTAACATTTCTATTACATTACACATGGTTGACCCTCAAATAAAGAGGTTCTAGGACCTTCTAACATGTTTATTTCCTCATGTATCCAATCTGCCTTTTTCACAAATTAGTATTCAACAATAACACCAATTTACGCCGCAAAAAGTAAACGAAATTATGTATCGCCGCGGCATCAGTCCTTGGTGCTTAATTTATTCTAGCGTGCATTCTTCGACATTACGTTTCTTGTGTACAAACAAAACCTTTCCGCACTTTAATAGGGTAAATAGGGTTGCCAATGAAATAGCCACTTTACAAACGAGAATTTTGAAATAGATTTGGGTGAGAATCCTTGCTTTTGTCTATTAGTAGCGTCAAATAAGCATTATACTATACTTACACTAAATTTACACAGAAGAGTTATGAGTAGAAAGATCGGTAATGCCATTAAAGTTTTTAAAATGCCTATCAAGCGTATGCAGACGAAGAATACTGCAGGTTTGGAATACAAATAGTATGCTGTTCTGCATTTATTTCACGTCGGTTTACATTTTTGCTCTAAAGTGCGTGTAAGGAAAATGGTTTTATTTACACTGATTAACTGTTTGATTTTATAAAAAATCGCCAGTCAGCCATAATTTGCATTTACATGTATGTGTATGTAGTCATTTATTTCTAAGTAATAATGACATTCTATATCAGTACTTCTTGTAGGTAAATGAGTCATAATTAATTTATAGGAAATCTTATATACTACGTAGACATATCAGTATATTTCTCGAGGGACATATTATAGAGTTATTCTTCGCACCTTAGTTAAAGTTCTTACTGACTAAAAACAGTAGCGCTGGAGTGTCAGACTCTTACACACTTTTCGCTGAAACCTCGGTACATTTACCGATGTCGCTTTATCCTGTCAAATATTATTTATAGATTTTATTGCAATATCGTTAGGTTTAAATGGTCTAGTGTTTCAGTGTCATATAGAATGGGTATACATTTTCTGCCGACAAATTTTCTGGATAAGTACCTTAACTTTAAAGAAAATCGTTAAAATTGGAATGTCAAAATTCAAAAAACAAAAATCATTTATTTGAATTAGACCCGTGGTTACTTTTACCTTTAGGTACTTTTGAACGTCAAACAATATTTTGAAGATATAGTGTCTGTCTGTCGGTCAGTATTCTTAGTGAAGCTATTTGCTAGTTCCAAAGTGTAGATTCCGATGGAGAAGAACAAGCAAGAAACTATTAAGTTTGTCAACATCATTCTTCAGTTGCTAAGACATTTCGCATTATCGTTATAAAATGCAATTATCCTTGTGCAATCACACCGAACTCGTCTCCAAACGATCCCCCTTGTATGTAAAATTATAAGCCTCCATAACCTTGTTTAGAACATAAAGCGACTGTAAGTATGACGTGTTGAAACTCCTACGTCAACAGCTCACGCAGACTCATAATGAAAAAATACAATCAAGACATTAAAATTGAAGACTTGGAAAGTCTAAGT